AGGGGGGTTCTTAGCGCAGAACTCGGTGGGAAGGGCGGCACGCAGGCGAGCATCACTAGTGCGAAGGTGGGTGATAAGATCGGCGACTGTAGTAAAGGTGGACAGATCGGGGAACAGGTACGGCAGCATGAGGCGGCTAAGCTCGGCTGTGGCAGGCGAGGAGTAGCGAGCGACGACAGCGTCGTACAGGGCCTTAGCGGATTTGCAGTCGCCAAAATGCTCTAGCTCAGCTAACGGCAGGTGACTGCGAATGGCTAGGCGAGCAGCTGCGTCACGAGTCTGCCAGTGGGAACGAACACTAAGCTCAGCTGTGGCAGGAGGGGCAGGCGCAGCACCAGACGCGTAATCATAGAGCGACACATGCTCCTTGCTATCGCTCAGGAGGAACAGCTGCAGGTCATCTAGCCAAGCGGTGAACCGCACAGGGCGGCCCTCAGCATCGAACGACAGCACGCGGATGGAAGCCATAGCGACAGTGTGACAGAGTAACGAAAGCTGCCGCAGCAGGGGAAGGCGACTGTGCACGGATAGAGAGCAGCGGGCGAGGCTGGCGCTACGGGCAGGCGGCGCTGCAAGCGGTCAGCGCGACGGGAGGGCGACGCTGCGAGCGGGCAGCGCGGCGGACGGGCCGGGAAGCGGGCAGCGCGGCGGGCAGGCGGCGCTGCAAGCGGGCAGCACGGCGGGCGGGCGACGCTGCGAGGCGGGCGGGCCGCGAAGCGGGCAGCGGGCGGGCGGGCGGGCTGCGAAGCGGGCAGCGGGGCGAGCGGGCTGCGATGCGGGCGGGCCGCGAAGTGGGCAGCTAGCGGGCGGGCGGGCTGCGTAGTGAGCGGGCCGCGAAGCGGGCAGCGAGCGAGCGGGCTGCGAAGCGGGCGGGCCGCGAAGCGGGCAGCGAGCGAGCGGGCTGCGAAGCGGGCGGGCGGGCTGCGTAGTGAGCGGGCCGCGAAGCGGGCAGCGAGCGGGCGGGCGGGCTGCGAGCGGGCGGCTCGGCGAGGGGCGCGCGAGGGCGCTAGTGAGGGGCGCGCGAGGGCGCTAGCAAGGGGCGCGCGAGGGCGCTAACGAAGGGGCGCGCGAGGGCGCTAACGAAGGGGCGCGCGAGGGCGCTAACGAGGGTGCGCGCGAGGGCGCTAACGAGGGGCGCGCGAGGGCGCTAACGTGGGCGCACGAGGGCGCTACGAGGCTAGGGCACGGGGTAGCGTGGTAACCGCATGCGAGCGGTGGTGGGCCCTAAAAAAACGGTCGGTAGGTCCTAGGGACCTCCTGCTCTGAATACCATGTCAGAATCACTAGGCAAGAATGGATGAACTAGCAGAAGTTTGGGTACAAATATGAAACCCTAGTTGGGGTTGTACCCCATATTGGCTACCCCACTACAGCCTACAAGCATAATACAGTTTAACAGGAACTTCAACACCGCTCCTCGTCGAGAACACACCACCAACACCCGCACAGCAGCTTCAGCCAGCACCACGAGAAGTTCACCGTAGCGCAAACTTCACCACCAGCTTCTATTCCAACTCCGACATGTACCTATCGACGATCACCCGGACATCGCGCCGACGAAAGCACCTGGCACGCAAGGATGGGACACCCAAGCAACACTGTGTTAAACAACACAATAAGAGCAGGAGTCCTTGATAAGGACTCGCTACTACTACTCGACGGCAGAGAACTCCAAAGGGCACGAGGAACATGCCTTACCTGCCCCGAAGCCGACTTACCGCATCAGCCGTTCGTACCTCACCACAACCCAAGCGCACCTGCATACACACCACTCGAAAAGGTGTACAGCGATATCCTGTACAATCGCGCACCAGGACAAGGAGCCTACAATTACACCATCACCTTCATCGACGCCGCCACTCGATACGTCTGGCATCTCAACCTTCCAAGCCGCGACATGGCCTTCGAAGCCTTTGTCGCCTGGCTACCAGTTGCGGAACGAGAATCGGGAGCTAAGCTGAAAAGCTTTCAGTCAGACGGGGGAGGAGAATACACCTCACAAAGGTTCAAGCAGTACTTGGCGGAAAGAGGAATCAAGAAACTCATCTCCCTCCCCTACGCTCATCAACAGCAAGGTGTAGCAGAAAGAATGAACAGGACTCTGCAGAACACCATGCGCAAACTGTTACGTGGCATGCGGCTACCCAACCACCAGTGGCCTGCAGCAATGGACCACGCTGTCATGCTGCACAACTTGCTCTCGTCATCATCGCTTCCGAACAACGCATCACCGCATCTGCTGTGGACAGGGAAACTGGGCAGCACAAAAATGTTACGAGTGTTCGGATGCATGGTACAGTATCGACCCCCAGCAGCACGAGCGGGCCGATTTTCACAACGCGCACAGTGGGGACTACACCTCGGCATCGAAAGGAATTACAACGCGTGGAAAATCTTCGACATCCACACCAAGGAAACAGTAGCAGCACGTGATGTCATTTTCTACGAACGACTCACGCTCCAGACGTACCTTGCCAACCTGCAAGAGGACCAAGATCTCACAGGTGGTTTTCGCGGTGACCGGGCCTTCGCCTCGGCAGAAGACGAAGCTGACTGGGACGAGCAAAATGTGGACAACGCGTCAGAAGAAGCCGGACCTCTCCCGTTCTGCTCCGTCGACGTTCCCATGGACAAAGACAACCCTCGCGAAAGTGTCAACGCCGAAACCTTCTACTACCACTTCGCCGACAACGGTTACGTAACACCTTCGACAGTCAACACCAACGAAGCAGAACGCGTAGGACCCAATTTCATACCTGATCCAGAAGCGGGAGATGAAGCAGCTTATCCCGAGGATGCAACTCTTCCCCGCTACTCACAGACTGGACTGCAGATACTTGGCCTCGTCACCGCAGTCCACGGCAACACCCTTCCTAAGGAGCCTGCGACGGTTCAGCAGGCTCTGGGGGGGGAACACAAGGAAAAATGGCGTGAAGCCATGGACAGAGAGTTAAAAGCGCTGGAGGAACGGAACACCTGGAAAGTTGTCCCCATCAGCGTGGCAAGAAACAAGACCATTCTCACCGGAAAATGGGTCTTCCGCGTTAAAACAAAAGCAGACGGCACAATTGAGAAGTTCAAAGCACGCTGGGTTGTGCGTGGATTCGATCAGGAGCACGGACGGGACTTCACCGAGACATTCGCCCCGGTCAGCCGACACACCTCACTTCGAATCCTCCTCGCGATCGCCGCCATGAAGAAGAAGAAGCTGCGGCAAATCGACGTCGCGAACGCCTTCCTCTACGCACCCGTTGACGCAGAGATTTTCGTGGAACTACCGCATGGCACTAACGGAGAGCCGAACAAAGTCTGTCAACTACTGAAATCGCTCTACGGGATTAAGCAAGCCCCGCGGCTATGGCAGCAGTACCTACACGCCCGTCTCATCCGCATTGGCTTCAAACAACTACCCCACGATCAGGGGATGTACCGGCTCACGAAGAACGACGACTACGTCCTGCTAATCGTCTATGTGGACGATCTACTCTACATCGGGTCAACTGACGAAATCACCACCTGGGTTGAAGGGGAGCTGCAACGAGACCTCACACTCACTGTCTCGTCTACCGTCACTCAGTATCTCGGCCTCAACATCCGAGAAGAAGAAACTGCAATCTACCTCAGCGCCGAAAAGTACGCCGACACCATCGCCAAGCGCTTCGCTCTCACACCGACCGCGATCTCCACGCCATACCGTTACACGACAGGAACTGACAAGGGAGGATCTACTCTACTGAAGCCCGCCGGCATACGCGACTACCAGAGAAAGCTGGGCTGTCTTCTCTTCGCAGCTGTCACCTGCCGCCCCGACCTCTCATACTCCGCAAGCCAGCTCGCTACCTACCTCAAAAGGCCTGAAGCAGAACACCTGGCGGAGCTCGACCGCGCTCTTCACTACTTCGTCAGCACTCCAACGATCGGCCTAACGTATCACAAGAACGCAACTACACCAACTAAGCTAATCGGCTATGTCGATGCCGATCACGCCGGCGATTCCGACAATAGGCGCTCCCGCACCGGCTACATCTACCGCCTCGAGCCTATCGGTCCTATCTCCTGGCAGTCGAGTAAGCAGGAACTAATCGCCCTCTCATCAGCTGAAGCAGAATATATCGCACTCTGCTCAGCCACCAAGGAAGGACTTTACCTTCGCGAGCTGCTGGAAGAAGCGAAGTTAGCCGAGTTACCTAATTTCACTCTGTTCTGCGACAACCAATCTGCAATTCGCATCGCCAACAAAAATGGATTCGCGAACAGAACGAAACATATCGCCCTGCGATATTTCTTCGTGAAAGACGAGATCGAGAAGGGAAGACTTGAACTATCCTACTGTCCCACGTCCGAGATGGCAGCTGACTACTTGACCAAGAAGCTCGGAAAGCAGAAGTTCGAGTACTGCATGCTGCTGACTGGACAGGGCCACGTCATCAGCAGCGACACTCCAGAAGCGAAGGGGAGTGTTGGAAACAGTAAATCTTAAGCGCCTCTGTCGTGTCGAAACATCGCACCAGAAGCGAAGCGAACCATATTGAGGCACATCGGCGAGTCAACCCTCGGAGGTTGAAAGAGGTTGCTGGAGGTTACGCGAAAGTCAAAGGTCAGCGACCTTTGACCTGACAAATACAGCGCGACAGCAAGGACACACAACTGACTCGCTACAGAGCGGTTGCCCGAGTCGTCACTGTATCGAACCGCAACAGCAACAGTAAAGTAGTTATAACTGTATCTCTTCATATTCCTTGTACTCTTATATAAATGCTTGTATCTCTTTGTTTTAATCAACTTACTTTGCCCTCACACACTAGCGCAAGGTGGTTCACAACTCTTCATTAACGCTTCCGCTATTACAATTGTCCTACCCCGAATTTACTCCTGCAAAGATCCTAAGGGCTTTTCTCAGCCCAACAAGAATGACTACGTAGTTTACAAGGAACCTTGCTTAGTCTGAAATCCCCCACGGAGCACTTGAAGGGTTTCAATCTGCAGCAAGGCAAACCCAGTTACAAGGAACCTTGCTTAGTCTGAAATCCCCCACGGAGCACTTGAAGGGTTTCAATCTGCAACAGGCAAGCAAACCCATCCAACAAAACATTAGAAAACCTCATTTTCATTACAGCTGGCACATACACCCCCAAAACTTCACCCTTCTTACCTTAGATCGGAAGAAGCTGTTCTGCTCCTGAAGCTGCTTACAAGCAGATCGCAACCCGTCATAATTCTTCCGCGCCAATCTACACTCCGTTTCCAGCTTCTGGAAACTTTCTCTCAATCCATCCACCAATCTTTCCTCGCCCAACCTGCTGTTCGCCTCCTCGCCTCCCTCCACATCACTCTCGCATTCCTCCCACCAGCTCTCATCATAGTCACTGCTACAGTCACCATCATTCTCATCTCCATCCTCATCCTCGTCATAATCTTCCTCATCTTCATCCTCTTCCTCCTCCTCTTCCTCCTCCTCTTCCTCCTCCTCTTCCTCCTCCTCTCCATCCTGTTGAATCAACCCGCCTTGTTGCTCCCATTGACTACTCAACGCCCCATTTTCTTCCACTCCATCGCCCTCACACTTAGATTCCTTGCAAATCCTCTTGCAAGCACATCCGTCTCTATCCAATCTCTTTCCTTGCTTGTCTTCTTCCGCTTCCTCCGCATCCTCTGCGCCAATTTCCCTTCCCACTCCATCACCCTCATCATCAACCTCCCCTTCCCCATCTTCCTCCTCCCCTTCCCCTCCCTCTTCATCCTCCTCATCCCCCTCCTCATCTTCCTCATCCTCCTCTCCCTCTCCCTGCCTGCCTCCCGTCCCGTCCCTCCACTGCCCCTGTACTCCTCCGTGCCTTACCCGTTTGGCCCTCGCCCAAACCTCTCCGGCCGCTCCCGCTTCCTCCGCTCCCCCCTCTCCCGCGCTCACTTCCGCTTCCCCCTCTCCCGCGGTCCCCACACTCGCGTCCCCCTCCTCCAGACGCCGTTTCCGCCATCTTCCTCCGCCATCCGCAGCAACTCGCATCCCCGCGCGCAAATCACCAGCAAAGCATGCGCCCACAAGCACGCGCTCCTCCGCAAATGCGCCCAGAGGCCCCCGCTCCTCTGAAAAAGCGTCCGCACTCGCGCGTGTCGCCATGCTCGCTGCCTCTTCCGCGGCGGGGGGGAGAAACAGCCGTCTCCGCTTCTGCCTGTCGCACCAAACTCCCGCCGTCGACCCGTCCGCGCCTCCAAAACAGGCGCTCATTGTGCCGACTGCGGCCCCCGCTGCCTCTTCCGCATGTTCCGCGAAACATGGAGAAGCAACAGGAAGATGGTTCAGCCGAGAAGAGCGGAGAACAGGCGAGGCGGCGGGTTCCGCGGGGCTGGCGAGCGGAAGCAGAACCAGCGGAAGAGGGCGCTTCAGCAAAATTTGCGCCTGAGCGGGCGAAGTTGAGTCGCGGGTGTTACCACCAGTTCGTCGGCGAATTCGCGAATTGTCCGTGTAGCATGCATTGGCTAGCTCGGGTTGGGGTTGTGTGTACACTCGAGTTGATGTTTGAGGTGATGCTAAAGTCATCTCGGGTTGACTGTACACTCCGTTGGGGGACCCAAATTGCTCCAGGGAGTTCCCAAGGGCCTCGAAGTTGCCTCTAAGGGATTTGAAGTGGTATTGTCGCGGCGCTGGGTTCATCAACAGAAAACCGAGTTTCGTTGCAATGAAAAATTGAAGGACGAGTACGATCAACGGGGAAAGGCGGCGGTCGAGCTTGTTTGCAGAATCTTGCTTGAAACTGTGTTGTCACAGCGCTGGGTTACCAGCAGAAAGCAGAGTTCCGCGGCAATGAGAGGATGAACGGATGAGCTTGGAGACGTCTCAAAAGTCGCTGGGCTCTCACGAATCACTTCGAAGGCTTATCGCAGCGTCAGTAAAATACTCAGCGGAGGGGACATATACTTGGACAAAACCGTCGAGGTCAGAGACTCCAGAAGCTGGGGTCGAGAACGGGAGAGATGCATAAGCAGGTTCGTGGCCGAAGGAGGGTACCAACCCAAGTGAGAATGCAAGTTGCGACGGGCTTTCCAATAATTCTAAGCGAGGAGGTTGGGGTTGATAACGGAAGATGTGTACGAATGCGTCCAGTGCAGAAGAAATTGGATTACGTGGGGAAGCAGACTCCGCACGAAGTATGTTTTCAGTCGCCTCGGAAAGGAAGCTGAGCAAGCGCGAGCGAGAATGAGAGCTCTGTGTGAGTTATATACGAAGCTAAGCCCGGGCTTTCAGCTCGTTCGACGAGAAAAGATCTCAACGCACAGAGGCGCGCTCTCGGATGTGCGAAGTGGACGATTACTAAGGAAACACATGCGGTTCACTCGCACAAGGCCAGGAAGGCGTATTATTGGTTCAGAAGGCCAAGTTGCTGGTTCTCGAAGCGAGGCTGTTGGTTCGGAAAGGCTAGTTGTCGGCTCTACTAATCTCAAGCGTGCCTCCGCCATAGCCTGTAGCCTTCGCGGCGGAAGGGGCCTAGCGTGTGAAGCGGCGATTGCGGTCGAGAGCCCAAATCTCAACGCAAGTTGCTCCGGCGACAATTAGTCGTCTCGCGTTCCGAATCGTCCGCTGTATCGTATAGCTTGCATCACCAATTTCCTAGCTGCTGCGAAGGAGCTATTTTTTCCACGAGCAAGCAACGTGGTTGGCCTCGTATTTATTGGACGCAAAAACTCAATTATTGAGAAGAGGGATTCCCTGTGTGGCAGTTGGATGTAGGGGCGTGTGTCTTGGCCCATGATTCGGGCCACAGGTTGTACAGCTCTAACAGGTGGTCGGTTTGGTTTGGGAATGCGAGTCGCACTGCGGCGCGGTAACTGAGTATGTGGCGTTCCGCAACTCACGGCAATGCATTATTGATGTCGCGATTGACATAATGCACTGTAGGACAGGTGGCTCGACGAGCTTCCAGTGCGAAGTGGGATTCGCGCCTGATCGCTTTCGGTTTTCCCGCCTGATCGCTGTCGGTTTTCCCGCTAAGTCCGACATCCGAACCAGTACGTTGTGCTTGGGAACCAATCAAGCATGCTATGTTCAGAAGTTCGGATCGAACTTGTAGGCACGGTTTCACCAAACCAGAAATGACGTCAGAGAAGGCCTGGCATTACGAGACTGATACACCATCCAATTGGCCTTGGCGGTGGTATGGAAGCGAAAATGCGGTAGCGGAACTGAAAGGCTCAGCTTCAATCAAAGCTGCGACCGTGTAACGCGGAAAACAACCTGTTTATTGAGTAAGCGTTTGAGAAAAACAAGGAGTTGGTGCTCATTGAGTAAGCAGTTGCTTGTAAAACGAAAACGGACTTAAAAAAAAAATAAGACTTGCACCACCAAATTCTCTCCACACGTATCTGGATCCTCACTACTAGTGAGATGAACTAGATACCTGCTTCGTGCACGCAAACTAACACGGCACAAGCATACTGACAATGTAGTAGATGTACAAAACAGTAAACTACAAACTACGCATCATCTTCGTCATCCTTGCCTAAGAAAGCAAGCATGGGGTCATCTGCATGGATTCGCTTCATTCGGTACGCCTCCATAGCCTCCTCCGTCACCTGTAATTAGGAGCAAGCACGGAAGGGAGACACAATAAGGGGAGCGCGACAAAAAGAAGTTGAAGGGGTGCGGGGGAAGGGGAGGAGGCAGAGCGAAAGCGGGGGAGGGAGGTTTGTAACAGGGGGAAAGAGAGATTTCGACTCGCTAAACAAGCAATAACACTTACATCGTCGGAATACGTGACATTGTACTTGCGCTTGCGCTCGTCCTTCTCCTCCCGAGCAAGTTCATCCTCCTGCCATTGGCCAAGTCAAACATTGACACCGAAAACGTTGATCAAACATTGACAACGAAAACTTTGAAAAACGAGCATAAGGAGACCCACAAAGTCAAACAATGGCTTGCAAAAGGAAGGAAAATGTCACACGCACGCCCTCTCTCACCCACTTGAGAGATGCCCTCAGCTGCTTCTTATCCACCTTGAGATCCATATCCGCGTCTGTCCCCCACGCCACTGGCTACGTCTCTAAGTGCCCTCACCCAACACACACACGTACCCACTTGAAAGCTGCCCTCAGCTTCTTCTTATCCAGCTTCAGATCCAAATCCGCGTCTGTGCCCCATGCCACTGGCTTCTTCCCCTACGTGTCCTCGTCTCACACTCACTCACACAAGGCCTACTGCAATGACCCCCCAAGCCCACACACGCCACATACCCTCTTGAGCGCTGCCTTCAATTTCTTCTTATCCAGCTTCAGATCCAAATCCGCGTCTGTGCCCCATGCCACTGGTTTCTTCTCCTCACCGTGCTTCCCCACGGTCACTCACAAACAACACACACGCACACACACACATACCCTCTTCAGGGCCGCTCTGAGCTTCTCCTTATCCAGCTTCAGATCCATATCCGCGTCTGTGCCCCATGCCACTGGTTTCTTCTCCTCTGTGTGCGTCGCCTTGCCCGCTCCCTCCTCCGCTTCCTCCCCCTCACCACCTGCTGCTTCTGTGACAGTCGCAACCAGTGAAGGGAGGGAAGAAGTGTTTTGAGACGTCTCAAAACAGTCGCAACCAGTGAAGGGAGGGAAGAGAGAACGGGAGAAAAGAGGGAGGTGCTGAGAGAGAGAAAGCTGAGATTCATGACGACATTCTCTCCTGTGCCTCAAACAGAACCCACAATCCTTCCAACCGGTCCACACACCTTTCTCTGCCTTCATCTGCTCGCGCCTCTCCATGTTCGCCTGCATCAGATTTGCCGACGCCTCAGCAGCAGCAATGCCGCTGGCTCCAGTGCAGTAGCTCATGCGCGTGGTTTGGTGGCAGCAAGCATAGCCCCACACGCCCCCATTCCACCAGCTGCCCCACACCGCTGTATGGTTGTTGACCAACACATCTTCCTCGTATCGGCTGCACGGTACGGCCTTGTCCTGAGAGTCACACGACACAGCACAACCAAACCAAACATCAGAGGGGAAAGGGTAAAGGTGAGCAGATTGGTCAGCGCACTAGCTCATGCGAGTGGTCTGGTGGAAGCACGCATAGCCCCACACGCCCCCGCCCCACCAGCTGCCCCACACGGCTGTATGGTTGTTGACTGGTACTTGCTCCTCTCAATGGTCGTCCTGCGCGGTTATACTCCACTTGCACCTCCGTCTGCCCCAGCAGCAGCTCCTCCAAAATCCTCCCTCCATCCACCCCTGACACTAAGTAAAGCAACTGTAGTACTACCACAGTACACACCATACCCGTTATAAGCAAGAATATACTGCTACTTACCACTCCTCTGAGGGGCCGCCCCGCGCGGTCATACTCCACTTGCACCTCCGTCTGCCCCAGCAGCAGCTCCTCGGGAATCTCCTCCTCCTCTCTCCCCTTGTTACTCGCCGCGTTCCCATACTTTGCCAGCACCGACTCCTTACTCGCGCCCTTCAGCTTCTCCTTTTTGACCTTAAACTCCCGGTGCAGCAGCTCAGCTTGACTAGGCGCGCCCTGCAGGTGAACGTCCACGTTGCGCTTCTCCATGGCCTCCCATGCGTGCACCGTGAGCTGCCGGAACTCTAAAGCCTGCCCGCTGATGCGGTTGTGGTTGTCTCCCAGATAGAATTTATCTTTCGCGTCGCCCTCGGGGTTCGGGTCTTCCCTCATAGAGCGGGTCTTTGGGTCGTAGTAAGCCGAGTCCACGTCCAGATTCAGGAGGTATTTCGCTGTGTCCTCACGGATACGCAGGTTTCTGGGGAGGGACGGAGGGGGGGAGACGGAGGGGGGGAAAAGGGGGTGTGAGTGAACGGTGAGCTCAGCCTGGCTGGGCGCGCCCTGCAGGTGCACGTCCACGTTGCGCTTCTCCATGGCCTCCCACGCGTGCACCGTGAGCTGCCGGAACTCCAGGGCCTGCCCGCTGATGCGGTTGTGGTTGTCTCCCAGGTAGAACTTGTCCTTGGCGTCCCCGTCCGGGTTGGGGTCCTCTCACATGTGGTTGTCGCCCATCTCAGGGATGGGATGGGGTATGGAGGCGAAGGAGGGAAGCAAGGTTGTTGTGGATGTCTCCCAGGTTGAACTTGTCTTTAGCGTCTCCTTCTGGATTGGGATCTTCTCGCATGGAGCGCGTTTTTGGATCACAATAAGCCGAGCTTACATCCAAATTCAGGAGGTATTTCACCGTATCCACACCATGCTTTTGAGTCGACTCAAAAGCATTTCACCGTATCCACACCATTCACGTTCTCACACGCTTCTCCACCTTTTCAAAATCCATCTGCCGACTCTCATCCACCTTCGCATCATACACCTCCTCACACGCTTCTCCACCATTTTGCACCTTTCTAAACCTTCCCACACCATCACGTACCGCACTGAACCCGTGCTGCCACCACCAGTCGTCCTCACACGCTTCTCCACCTTCCCAAAATCCATCTGCCGACTCTCATCCACCTTCGCATCATCCTCCTCCTCCTCTTCCTCCTCTCCCCCCTCCCCTCCCTCTCCCTCCTTCCCCCCTCCCTCCCCATCCCCCGCCTTCCCAGCGAGCTTCTTCAGCTGCTGCTCCTTCTGATACTTTTTCCGTGCCTCAGCCCGGATGTCATATGAGTCCATGGTTCGCTTGTACGTGGCGGCATCAAACCCGTTCCAGCGGTCGCGCTTGCCCTCGTAGTTGAGTTCGATCGATTGGATCTTCTCGTCCGCTGCAATGCTCTGGCTCGTCCACTTGGCGCCCACCTTCCTCGGCCGCTCAACGCACAGCTTGGCCGTATGAGTCATGGCGCCACAGCTGATGGTGCGGGCATGGGGGGGGAAGGGGGGAGGGGAAGGGGGGTAAGGGCAGAATGAGGGGAAAGGGAGAGCATTTATGAGTGGATCACGATTGCCCTCGTAGTTGAGCTACGTGGGATGAGGGGAAAGGATGAGTGGATCACGACTGCCCTCGTAGTTGAGCTCGATCAACTGGATCTTCTTGTACGCCGCAGTCCTCTGGCTCGTCCACTTGGCACCCACCTTCCTCGGCCGCTCCACACACAACTTCGCAGTGTGCGTCATGGCGCCACAGCTGGTGGGTTGGAGGATGTAAGGGGCAAGGAGCAAGGGGGGAGGGTATACACTGTGAGTGTGTGCTCTGGCTCGTCCACTTGGCTCCCACCTTCCTCGGCTGCTCAACGCACAGCTTGGCAGTATGAGTCATGGCGCCACAGCTGGTGGGTGGAAGAGGTATGGGGCAAGGGGTAAGGGGGAACGGGGCAGGGGAAAAGGAAAGGAGATACACTGTCAGAATGTGCTCTGGCTCGTCCACTTGGCGCCCACCTTCCTCGGCCTCTCAACACACAGCTTGGCCGTATGGGTCATGGCACCACAGCTGGTGGGTGGAAGAGGTATGGGGCAAGGAGCAAGTAAGTGGGGGGGGGGGATGAGATACACTATCAGTAAATGCTCTGGCTCAGTGTGAGCACACACTGATACCAGTGTGTGCACTGGTTTGTGAGAATTCTAAAAAACTGGCTCAGTGTGAGCACACACTAATACCAGTGTGTGCACTGGTTTGTGAGAATTCTAAAAAACTGGCTCAGTGTGAGCGCACACTAATACCAGTGTGTGCACTGGTTTGTGAGAATTCTAAAAAACTGGCTCAGTGTGAGCACACACTGATACCAGTGTGTGCACTGGTTTGTGAGAATTCTAAAAAACTGGCTCAGTGTGAGCACACACTAATACCAGTGTGTGCACTGGTTTGTGAGAATTCTAAAAAACTGGCTCAGTGTGAGCACACACTAATACCAGTGTGTGCACTGGTTTGTGAGAATTCTAAAAAACTGGCTCAGTGTGAGCACACACTGATACCAGTGTGTGCACTGGTTTGTGAGAATTCTAAAAAACTGGCTCAGTGTGAGCACACACTAATACCAGTGTGTGCACTGGTTTGTGAGAATTCTAAAAAACTGGCTCAGTGTGAGCACACACTGATACCAGTGTGTGCACTGGTTTGTGAGAATTCTAAAAAACTGGCTCAGTGTGAGCACACACTAATACCAGTGTGTGCACTGGTTTGTGAGAATTCTAAAAAACTGGCTCAGTGTGAGCACACACTAATACCAGTGTGTGCACTGGTTTGTGAGAATTCTAAAAAACTGGCTCAGTGTGAGCACACACTAATACCAGTGTGTGCACTGGTTTGTGAGAATTCTAAAAAACTGGCTCAGTGTGAGCACACACTGATACCAGTGTGTGCACTGGTTTGTGAGAATTCTAAAAAACTGGCTCAGTGTGAGCACACACTAATACCAGTGTGTGCACTGGTTTGTGAGAATTCTAAAAAACTGGCTCAGTGTGAGCACACTAATACCAGTGTGTGCACTGGTTTGTGAGAATTCTAAAAAACTGGCTCAGTGTGAGCACACACTAATACCAGTGTGTGCACTGGTTTGTGAGAATTCTAAAAAACTGGCTCAGTGTGAGCACACACTAATACCAGTGTGTGCACTGGTTTGTGAGAATTCTAAAAAACTGGCTCAGTGTGAGCACACACTGATACCAGTGTGTGCACTGGTTTGTGAGAATTCTAAAAAACTGGCTCAGTGTGAGCACACACTAATACCAGTGTGTGCACTGGTTTGTGAGAATTCTAAAAAACTGGCTCAGTGTGAGCACACACTGATACCAGTGTGTGCACTGGTTTGTGAGAATTCTAAAAAACTGGCTCAGTGTGAGCACACACTAATACCAGTGTGTGCACTGGTTTGTGAGAATTCTAAAAAACTGGCTCAGTGTGAGCACACACTGATACCAGTGTGTGCACTGGTTTGTGAGAATTCTAAAAAACTGGCTCAGTGTGAGCACACACTAATACCAGTGTGTGCACTGGTTTGTGAGAATTCTAAAAAACTGGCTCAGTGTGAGCACACAGTAATACCAGTGTGTGCACTGGTTTGTGAGAATTCTAAAAAACTGGCTCAGTGTGAGCACACACTAATACCAGTGTGTGCACTGGTTTGTGAGAATTCTAAAAAACTGGCTCAGTGTGAGCACACAGTAATACCAGTGTGTGCACTGGTTTGTGAGAATTCTAAAAAACTGGCTCAGTGTGAGCACACACTAATACCAGTGTGTGCACTGGTTTGTGAGAATTCTAAAAAACTGGCTCAGTGTGAGCACACACTAATACCAGTGTGTGCACTGGTTTGTGAGAATTCTAAAAAACTGGCTCAGTGTGAGCACACACTAATACCAGTGTGTGCACTGGTTTGTGAGAATTCTAAAAAACTGGCTCAGTGTGAGCACACACAAATACCAGTGTGTGCACTGGTTTGTGAGAATTCTAAAAAACTGGCTCAGTGTGAGCACACACTAATACCAGTGTGTGCACTGGTTTGTGAGAATTCTAAAAAACTGGCTCAGTGTGAGCACACACTAATACCAGTGTGTGCACTGGTTTGTGAGAATTCTAAAAAACTGGCTCAGTGTGAGCACACACTAATACCAGTGTGTGCACTGGTTTGTGAGAATTCTAAAAAACTGGCTCAGTGTGAGCACACACTGATACCAGTGTGTGCACTGGTTTGTGAGAATTCTAAAAAACTGGCTCAGTGTGAGCACACAGTAATACCAGTGTGTGCACTGGTTTGTGAGAATTCTAAAAAACTGGCTCAGTGTGAGCACACTAATACCAGTGTGTGCACTGGTTTGTGAGAATTCTAAAAAACTGGCTCAGTGTGAGCACACACTAATACCAGTGTGTGCAATGGTTTGTGAGAATTCTAAAAAACTGGCTCAGTGTGAGCACACACTAATACCAGTGTGTGCACTGGTTTGTGAGAATTCTAAAAAACTGGCTCAGTGTGAGCACACACTGATACCAGTGTGTGCACTGGTTTGTGAGAATTCTAAAAAACTGGCTCAGTGTGAGCACACACTAATACCAGTGTGTGCACTGGTTTGTGAGAATTCTAAAAAACTGGCTCAGTGTGAGCACACACTAATACCAGTGTGTGCACTGGTTTGTGAGAATTCTAAAAAACTGGCTCAGTGTGAGCACACACTAATACCAGTGTGTGCACTGGTTTGTGAGAATTCTAAAAAACTGGCTCAGTGTGAGCACACACTGATACCAGTGTGTGCACTGGTTTGTGAGAATTCTAAAAAACTGGCTCAGTGTGAGCACACACTAATACCAGTGTGTGCACTGGTTTGTGAGAATTCTAAAAAACTGGCTCAGTGTGAGCACACACTGATACCAGTGTGTGCACTGGTTTGTGAGAATTCTAAAAAACTGGCTCAGTGTGAGCACACACTAATACCAGTGTGTGCACTGGTTTGTGAGAATTCTAAAAAACTGGCTCAGTGTGAGCACACACTGATACCAGTGTGTGCACTGGTTTGTGAGAATTCTAAAAAACTGGCTCAGTGTGAGCACACACTAATACCAGTGTGTGCACTGGTTTGTGAGAATTCTAAAAAACTGGCTCAGTGTGAGCACACAGTAATACCAGTGTGTGCACTGGTTTGTGAGAATTCTAAAAAACTGGCTCAGTGTGAGCACACACTAATACCAGTGTGTGCACTGGTTTGTGAGAATTCTAAAAAACTGGCTCAGTGTGAGCACACACTAATACCAGTGTGTGCACTGGTTTGTGAGAATTCTAAAAAACTGGCTCAGTGTGAGCACACACTAATACCAGTGTGTGCACTGGTTTGTGAGAATTCTAAAAAACTGGCTCAGTGTGAGCACACACTAATACCAGTGTGTGCACTGGTTTGTCCACTTGGCTCCAACCTTCCTCCGCCGCTCCACACACAGCTTTGCAGTGTGATTCATGGCACCACAACTGCTGGGTGGATTCCAGGAAGGAGGGGATAACGGGCAAGTACGTGTGTGATTCGCCGCTTGGCACATGGAGTGCGTCAAGGGATTTTTCTGAGAATTCTAAATAACACCGCTGGTGGGAGGATTCTAGGAAGGAGGGGATAACGGGCCAGTATTGTGTGAAATTGGCCACTTGGCACCAGGAGTGTGTTAAAGGAACCTGCGGACACAAGAAACGCGTTAAAGAGAGGGCACGTACTTGGTGCAGGCGCCCTTGCGGTATTTCTCAGCCTGGAAGCCCTTGGCTCCTCGGTCGTACCACAGGTTGGCGTAGTTCCCCTCGCCGGCCTAGTCAGGAATCAAGCTAAACGACAGCTCAACAAGGTGTAAGATCCAAGCAGTGTGTTGAGGCAGGGCACGTACTTGGTGCAGGCGCCCTTGCGGTACTTCTCAGCCTGAAACCCTTTGGCTCCTCGGTCGTACCACTGGTTGGCGTAGTTCCCCTCGCCCTTCCAGTTCCGTTGATGCTTCAAACTCTGCTCACACGCACACCAGAGTGGACACAAAGAGCACAGAGTGCGGGTGTTACCACATGCGTGACAGAGTGCTGGTGTTACCACATGCGTGACAGAGTGCTGGTGTTACCACATGCGCGACAGAGTGCGGGTGTTACCACATGCGCGACAAGAAAGCTGAAAGCGACTTTTGAGTCAACTCAAAAGTCACCTCTGGATACAAAGAGCACAGAGTGTTGGTGTTACCACGTGTGCAACAAGAAAGCTGAAAGCCACACGTGCAAAAACAACAACAGTGACGGCGTGATGCAACCAGGCGACAACGACATGCTCCCCTCCCCACTTCATCCCTGGCGTGATGCAACCAGGGGAATGTACTCATCCCACACACACATCCTCCAACGGCCTCCCCCAACCAACCCCATCTCTCCCTTTCTCCCCTCCTCTCCCCACTTCTTCCCTCCGCTCCCTTTCTACTCACGGGTCGTTCGGCGTTGAGGTACCAGGGCGCGGACGACATGTACTGCGGGAACAAGCCGCACCCATACACCTCTGCCATCCCCTCCTCTGCCATCTCTTTGCCATCCTTGTCCACCTCTGCTGGAGCCAGCCCCGCCTCTTCCTCCCCTCCTTTCTACCCCCTCAAATCTCTTCCCCTATTCCCCCTCCCTCCCTCCCTCCCTCCTCCACACGCCCCCCCTCAAAAGCAGACTACTCACGGGTCGTTCGGCGTTGAGGTACCAGGGCGCGGACGACATGTACTGCGGGATATGCGGGTTGATCTCCTTGCCATCCTCGTCCACCTCGGCTGGCGCCAAACCCGCCTTACGCGCCTCCTCCAGCTCCTGCTGCTTCCTGTGATCCTCGCGCGACTTGAACGTCGCTGGATGATACCCAAGTGAGGGAAAGAGAATGTAGAACAGAAACGATCTCTGAATCCGAAAGAAAAAGGTTCAGTAGAGATGCAGTCACAACGCGAAGCACACGAGTTAAAGCTCGTGTCCTCGTCCGTGTGGGACTTAATATGGTTCGAGACAATCCAAGGCATGCAACTTAAGAATCGTGGTCCTCGCAGGACTTGAACGTGGCCGGACAAACGACGGAGACAACGTATGTCCCGGCGGGGAAACGGGAGAGACGCGTGTCATGACGCGAAGAACGCAAGGAGAACGCTGAACGGCCGCGCGATGCAGCAGAAAAGAAAATCAAGGTGGTTCATAAAACGAATTTGATCGAATCAAAGCCTCTAAAAATAACTTCTATAAAGACGACCCTCCAACGCTAAAGCTCTTGCACGGAGTAGCGAAAAGTGATCCACGCAAGGTATAGTACTGAAATTCGACGGCAAAACCGATGAACCAGTTTTAAGAATGTGTTCTACGCTCTTCGCGCATTACAGACTACGCTGGATCCATTCTTAAGAAGGCTCGAAAAGCTTCCAGACTACAGCCTACCCAACATCCATCGATCGTCTGACAAATGTTTCCCCTCACGGCGGCGGAAAGGTCTCACCTGAAGCCGTCGCCATGGTTCTATATTAGGAATGCTCCGACAGCAAATCGGCAGTCGCTAGCAAGTTACTTAGCGAAACGCACGGAAGCTCCCAAGTACGCGACGACTATCCGCAGCAGATGGATCAAACCGCAGTATGCGAATTCGCTTGGCAGAAAGAGGTGCCGCAAGGAAACCCTAATGTTGCAAGGCAAATGGAATTGATGCGTTGATGTGATGTGATCGACTTAACAACTACGGGATGGGACGGGAAGCAAGAATCGGACAGAACTGTGAGGCAGGAAGACCGACAAGGTTGAGTTTTGTAGAACAGCCAGCGACGCAAATCTCGAGAAGGCAGTGAATGCTCCATCGGGGTTGCGTTCTTGCACCACCTTGCGTGTGGTGGGAGTCAACTGGTGTCTGACACGAGGGGTCTCGCAAAACTCGCTTGCTTTATTCGCGATCGCATGCACACCTCACGACATGAAAAGTAACCAGCTCGATTTGGAGTCCTGGGTGATTTTTTCGTCTGAGTGCTGTCTGGGGTAGAACTTGAGCTGGCAGCGAAACGGATAAATGATGTGCTGGCAGCAAGGAAAGACGAGCTCAAGCTATAAAGCGACATGAGGATGTACACTGATACACATACACAGCCCCCATAACAATTTTATGTCCAACCCAATATGAGCAAATTACCAGTGAGGAGGTTCTTGAAGCTGCAATGGGGGCTGCGGCTGGTCAGAGCATGCTATGCTACCCTTCCTCCACATATTGTTTTGAAGTTTTTTTCCGCTGCCAATTTATTGCCAACATCATTATATTTATTTATTTAGGATATGCATGCTCATACAATTCACCCAACAATATTTCAGTTTTATTAATTAAATTACAATGATTTTCAACCCTAGGACCATTTCTCATACTAGATTCCTGGGTGCTGTTTTCATCAAAGCATTAGGCAGTTCCGTCAAATTCATAGAGTGATCGCCTTGTAACGGTGAAATTTTGAACCTGGCACAACCTTCCCTTAGGGCGCGTGTGATCCAAGGATTTTTGTCAAAGTTCGAACTCAAACCGCTTTGCATCGTGGAGAGACATCGCTCAATTGTATCCTACCGTGTAGAACCTTTCTAAAAGTTCGAACTTTGGGAAGTTCGAACTTTGATCACACGCGCCCTTACCAGGCACCTGATTCATAATTCTAATCTCCGCCTCATTCTCCATCCCATAGCTGCTGATGGTCGTGTAGTGAGGGTTAGCAGGACGAATAGGATTTTCTTCGTCGGCGTAGGTTCCGCAACAGGAATGAATCATGCAGTCGTTCAGATCTGCGGCTTTCGCAGCGCGATGTAGGGTTCCGCGTAATTCCCGGTCGTAAATTCGGAGCGACTGAAATTTCCCGACCTTGTTCGTTGCTCTAGCAATAGTGCTTGTTCGGGCGACCCTGTCGTTTGTCAAAATATTTCAGCAGCTCGTCCTGTCGGTGACCTGGTTGTTCCATAGTTACTCGGTATCCAACCTTACATTGTTTTCAAAAAAATGGCATCAGGCGGTTCGTACCGCGATCCGCTTCCGTTCTTCGGTCCATCCACATCCATCCCCGAGCTCACTCGACTTTCTCGCCTCTTGAGCCAATCGGCTTCCGCCAGCTGTCACTGGAAGCTGTTCGACCGTCAGACTCGCTCTGAGTTGCTGTACCCACCGGGAGACGATCGCGGACGGGTAGCCGTCTGGTCGCTTAAGATCTCGCCGTCAGGCAAACGGCTAGCCGTCATCTGGGGCTCGACAGTTACTATTCTGTCGCATTATGATGGGTATTCGGCTCCCGTCGGCAGCTTCAGCATTCCGTCAGGTACTCTTCCGTCAGGTCTATCTATTTGTAACCATTCCGTCAGTTTTTTTGAAGTGTTAGTTTCCCGTCAGTTCAGTTCTTGTCCTTACTCAGTCTGGTAATGATTTCTAGTGCGTGACTTCTTTTAATGCGTGATGCGGTCAGTTTGCATTGGCATGAACGTCGAGGATCGTATTATTTAGTGTCAGGTTGTGATTATGGTGACTACGTCAGTAGTTCCTTGGTGCATATTTGTCGTAGATTAGATTCTCGTAGACTTGTCTACTTTCCAGCATCACCGTTTTGAATGTTTCATGAAAAATGTTGTTTTCGTTCCATTTCGTCATGATGCATGATCAGGCAGAGAAAGGGTTACCACACCGATCAGTGTAACCGCGGAGTGGAGCGACGACGAGAGGGTACTCGCTGTGATTGGTCTACGCGCTCTCTGGTTGCTGGACGCGCAGGGGCTGCTGCTCGGCGAATTGCACGCTGCCACGTGGCAGCCCCGGGGATCCGCCGTTGCAGGCTGTATCCTACGATTTGCACACGACTCGAAGCCTGACAGTGGAGTGAAATCGTTCAGGTGAGCTTGCCAGTGCACCACCATACCAATGCACTGAAATCTCCAAGGTAAGGGGTCCCTTACCTTACCTTACGCTTGAGGAGCCTCAGAAGGCTGCTTTTAAGGATCGGCACACGATCCGTAGCCTGACTGACAGTGGAGTGAATTCTCTTGGGTAAGAAGGCCGTTTTCTCACACGCGTTTCTTCCTCTAGACTCTCCCCCCCCGTTTTGCCCACAAATGCCATAGAAATCAAATCCGTGCCCATCATTCCAAGTTCAATGTTGACTCATTTCATGCCTCACCTCCCGCCCACCCCCTCTTCTCCCTTCCCTTCCTCTCATCACCCACCCAACCACAGTGCTTAGAACATTAATTTGGTCTTGTCCCACCCCCGCCCGCCTCTAGTCTCCACAATCTCCCTCCCACTCTGAACGAGGGGGTGTGGTTGGGAGGAACGATTGGCCAATTCTTCCCACTCAGATTCAAGCAATGACCGTGTCTCATCCTCCCCCCCTTCCTCCCAATCGCAGTGCCTATGAAATCATTCTGGTCCTGTCCCACCCTCGCCCGCGCCTCTGGCGAGCTACAGTCTCCCTCCCACTGCCTCCCTCTGGCGAGCACGGGGCGAGTTCAGGAGTCTCAGGTGTTTCTTCAGGTGCTGCGTCAGGAGACTGGGGTGTGCGATCAGTGAGGGTGACGGCGAGGGGCAGGGCGTATCTGCTGGAGGGGAGACACCGGGGGAGTTTGGTTCGCTCGGACTTCCATCCAGTGCTCAGCCTGCTTGCTGTCGCCGGCATATGTCCCTCTGGTGAGTAAATACTTGTCCAGATAGAGCCTGAATAACCCCCCCCTCCCTGGGACTTTCATCCAGTGCTCAGCCTGCTTGCTGTCGCCGGCATTTGCCCATCTGGTGAGTTCAACTTGAGACCCGCCCAGGTGAAGGCGAGGGGGAGGGCGTATCTACTGGAGGGGAGGCCTCAAGGGAGCGTGGTTCGCTCGGACTTTCATCCTGTGCTGAGTCTCCTCGCTGTGGCCGGCATATGCCCCTCTGGTGAGTTGAGACCTGTCCAGGTAGAGTCTGGATAAAACCCCCCTCTTTGAGAATTTCACCTCGTGCTGAGTCTCCTTTCTGAGGCCAGCATATGTCCCGCAGGTAAGACCCTTTTGGCTGTGCTCGGCAAATGACCTTCCTATTGTCCATCTGACTCCTCCCCCTGCGCCCGCCCTCCTTTCTGCCACCTTCACTTCCCGTTTCTCGTTCCCCTTTCCGTTTCTTTATATCCCCTGTCCGCCCCCATGCGCTCCCTTTCACCCATGCCCTCGCTTTCACCCCCATGCGCTCTGCTCCTCTGTGCTTCTCGTCTCCCCCTCCCCCCTTTTCCCCTGCAGTTTGCAAACCGTCTCCCACGCGAACCCCCACGTCCCTCCTCCTGTCCATATGGCACATCCCCGATCCGCACCACCCCCTCCTCCTGCCCTCCTTCCTCTGACCCGTGTCTCACCACTTATAAGATCCCCTCTCATTTCGCTTTTTCCCTTTCCCGGTCATGATCGCTCCTGCCCAACCCTCTGCTCCCCTGCCCTCTTCTCGTCTGCCCCTTCCCCTTTCTTCCCGTGCAGGTGGTAAACCATCCCCCACGCGCCCCCCCACGTCCCTCCTCCTGTCCATATGGCACATCCCCGACCCGCACCACCCCCTCCTCCCGCCCTCCTTCCTATGCCTCCTCCGCTTCGCCCCTCCTCCCGTCCACCCTCCCCAATCCAAACCCTCTCGCTCCAAAACCCCAGGCTTGGGCTCCTCTCTAGGGTTTTGGGACGAGGGTTTAGAGGGAGGAGGAGGAGGAGGAGGAGGAAGAGGAGGAAGGGGAGGAGGCGGTAGCAGAGGTGAGATTCTCCCCTGATGGGGGGTCACTAGTGGTGGTACACCACCGGGGGGCACTGTCTCTTATGCGAATTTCGGCTAAGGACTCTGAGCTGATGCTGCTGCCTAGGAGCGTGGGGCGAACAGTGGGTGTTTCCGCTGGGGCTGCTGTGGAGGAGGAGGGAGGTGTGGTGGAGAGGGGTGTGGAGGAGTGGGGTGTGATGAAGGACGGGTTAGGGAAGGGGGAAAAGGAAGAACAGGACGGAGAGGGTGGGGCGAAGGAGAAGAGAGAGGAGGGAACACAGCAAAAGAAAGCTGTGCGGTTCCGAACGATGCAAGGCGGTGTGGTTGATTGCGTCACCAGTGTAACATGGCTCAGCACAGATACAATAGCAGTGTCCCATCGCTCAGGGAGATTAGCCATAGCCACCGTGCACGATCTAAGGAACCTCACCGGCCCGTTCCCTCTAGTCTTCGCCCCCCGGGCTGTCCTCTGCTCGTCCAATCTCCTCACGCCACGTGGCAGCAGCAGGTCGGGAGTGTACCCGCGCGGGGTGATTGTTCTAGAGCCGGTTGCGAGACAAGTGTCAGCTCCTGATTGGGCGAGAGGGACTTTTGGAAACGTGACTGATTCTCATGGGGAGGGGGCGATGGAGAACGGGTGGCGGGTTTTGTCTCTTGTGGAGCAGCCGGCGGCGGTCATGGTGCGGGTGTTGACTGAGGAAGGTAGACTTGGGGACGCGCTGGGAATGGCCCGGGCGGCAGGGTTGCATTCAGACGTGGTGTTTAAGGCTGCTTGGACGAGCATGGGTGTAGGGATTTCTGCCGCAGCAGCAGCAGCAGGAGGAGAAGGAAGAGGAGGGGGACGAGGAGTAGGATTAGGTGAGAGTGGAAGGTTGTTGGGAGGAGAGAGGGGGCTCGCTGGTAGGGAGGAGGAAGGGAAAGAGGAGGGGAATTCTGATGAGGAGGAGAGGGAGGAGGAGGAAGAGGAGGAGGTATCAGCAATCACAGACTACCTCTCTCGTGTGTCTGACGTCCCATGGGTGGTGAGGCAGTGTGTGAGTGTGGTGTGCCGCACTGCCAAGGGTATGGATTTGCTGCTAAGTCTGGGACTTAGAGCCACAAACAGCCTCAAGGAGGAAACCCTAAAAGCAGCAGCAGCTGCTGATGTGAAGCTATCAGGTGTAAAGCTAGCTCTGGTACGAAGCAGGTTGCAACTTTTGTCCTTTCGTGACCGCCTACAGAGCTACCTAGCCCTCAACATGGGCCGGTACGATCCGCAACAGTACGGCGTCTTTCGTCTTCTTCCCCTCCACTCGGCCGCCCAGCGTTTCGCCTCCACCGGCCGGATCTCAGCCGTCCACATTCTACTACAGAGGCATCCCTTCTCACTCTCCCCTCACCTCCTCTCCCTCCTCTCTTCCCTCCCAGAAACCCTCCCTCCTCACTCCTATAGAGCCACTCTCCCAGGGGCCTCCCCCCTGCCTGTGTCCCGGACCAGAGGGGCTGATTGGGTGGAAGGGCGAGGGGTGCTGCTGTTGATAGGAGCTGGGTCGGCTGTAGCAGCTACAGATTCAGCTGCTGTAGTGGCTGATGCTGCTGCTGGTAGCGATGCTGGTGGTGCTGCTGCTGTAGCCTTGGGCACAGAAGAGGTGGTGTTTCTGTCTCAGGGCTTTAAGTACCCGTCCAAGCCTGTCGTTGAGGCTTGGTACCTCTCCCGAGCCAGGGAGATTGAGGAACGGACGGGCCTGCTGCAGCACTCGCTCGCGCTGCTGGATCTAGGCTTGGCAGCAGGCTTGGCGGAGGTTCGGAATGCTATGGAGGATTACGCTGAGCTGAACAGAGTGGTGTATGGGGCATGCGGGGCTGATAATAAGGAGGACGAGGATGAAAGCGAGGAAGGGAGAGAGGAGGGAGGTGACAAGAGAAGGGAAGGGGATGACAGGAAAGAGCAGGAGGAGCAGGAGGAGGAGGAGCAGGTAGAGGGGCGACAGCAGCAGCAGCAACAACAATCTTCATCTGTTGAGGCGCCTCAAAAGTCGTCTCATGTCTCGCGGTTTTTGAGGCGCCGCAAAAAACAACAATCTGCATCTGTATCTACTGCTGTCACCCCAAGTGCCCTAAAGCGCGCCGAGCTCACTCTCTCCATCTGGCTGCAGCTCCCCATAATTGAACGGTTCAGATTCGTTCTCGGGCGGCCCCGCCCCGCATCCATCGTCTCACGTCTGCACGAGCGTGCCCTGCCAATCCTGTTCCGCCACCTGGCGTCGCCGCAGCAGGTGTGGAGCCTCCTGGAAAAATGGTTAAGGGAAGAAATCGCTCCTGTGAAGGGCAGAATGGCAGTTTTCTCCTCTGTTGTGGCTGAAATGGCTAAGGGAAAGCACGGCTGCCTCTCTCTCACAAGCTCTGCCCCCGCGTCACTCTCCTCTCCTCCACTTCCCTCCACCACCCATCTTCCCTCCTCTTCCGCTTCCGCTTCCTCCTCCCAACCCCAAATCACCTCTTCCCTTCTCCCTTTCTCGCTCTCCGATCTCGCCTCTCTCTCCCTTCACTGCCTCCCTCTCTCTGCCTCCACTGATGAGTGGAGCTCTATGGCTTTCCTACTCAGAGCCATTCTAGACTCGCACAAAACGGCTGCTCTAGCAGAACAGCACAGGGTGAAATCTCCTGCTTCTGCTGCTGCTGATGCGGGTGGGGGGAGGGGCAGGCGTGGCGGAGCTTCGGCCCGAGCCTCCGGCGCAGGCTTGGAGCCGCTAGGTTCGGAGCAGCAGGAGGCAGTGGCGAGTGCGCTGCTATTGGTGGAAGCAGGGGCTGTTCTTGCCACGTATGAACTCCCCACACCGTACACCGCCCTCGTCCAATCCCGCAGCGACACGTCAGCGGCCCTCCACCTGCTCCGCAGCCTCCTCTCCGCGTTCGCCCGCCGCCAGCCCCTCCCGGAGGATCCTGATTGGCTGGATCTCTTCCGCCACGTCAGCACGCTCAAGCACTCCGCGTTCTTCCCCCTTTCCCCTGACTCCCTCCCATCGGAAATGGCCAGAGTGCTTCTAAGGGAAGGGAGATTTGCTCTAGCAAGGCAGTTTCTGAGAAGCGGGGGGAGTGGGGGAAGTGAGAGAGGAAGAGGAGGAGGGGAGGACGTGTGGTTGGAGAGGGATGCAGTGTTGAGTGAAGATCGAGTAGAGGCTCTGGTGATCGGTGCTGCGAGAAACTTCTTCTACTCCTCCCCGACACTGGACTCCCCAGATGTGAGTGTCTGCTGTTTTGCGCTCTCTCTTGGTTTGTTTTGTCACTGTTCTGGGCGTGTGGCTGGATTGGGAGGGGGATGCAGCTTGGTATATCTCAACGGAACGCAGCGGGCGAGGAAACAACAAAGACGAAACCGCAAGACGACAAACTGCCCGGGGCAAAAGAAATAAACCCCAGACGGATGGCATGCCATTCGGGAGCCTCAACCCTAAAATTTCAGGGTTTAGGCTCCCGAATGGCATGCGGGTCGCTTCGGGGTTTAGTTTTTTTCTGCCCGGGTCAGGGTGACGCTCCCGGAAGCGGCACCCCCGAGCGTCACCCCGGGCAAAACGGAGCGTCACCCCCGGTTCCGTTGAGAGATACAGCGTTGAGTGAGGATCGGGTGGAGGCGCTGGTGATCGGTGCTGCCAGGAACTTCTTCTACTCTTCCCCGACACTGGACTCCCCAGATGTAAGACTTTGTTATTTGATTCGTCAGTGTTCTGGGCGCGTGGGGAGGGTCGCTTTTGAGAATTCTCAAAAGCGCCCCAGATGTAAGACTTTGTTATGTGATTCGTCAGTGTTCTGGGCGTGTGGGGAGGGGTTGCGGTGTGAAGTGAGAGTCAAAGTAGAGGCACCATTGTGAGCATTGGAGACATTGGTTGGAGGAAGATGCAGTGTTGAGTGAGGATCGGGCGGAGGCTCTGGTGATCGGCGCTGCGAGAAACTTCTTCTACTCCTCCCCAACGCTCGACTCCCCAGATGTAAGTGTTTTTTGTTTGTGCTCTCTCTTCCTCGCAGCCCAGCAGCAGCAGCAGCTGAGAGCGTCAGTACCAGCAGCCTATGAATCATTCTGTTCTGACCAATCCCCCCCCCCCCCCCCTCCCCATGCCTTGCCCCCACTGCAGATCCACAGTGCATTCGCCTGTCTGGACATTCTCCCCCGCAACCCAGCAGCAGCAGCGGAGCGGCAGCTCTTCTCAGCTCTAGTCATCGACCTCCCAGCTTGTGGCCTCCACCTCCTCCCCTTACACCTGCGCCAAACCCGCGACCGCCTCGACATAATCCACCAAGTGCTCAACCTCTGCCCCTTCCCTCCTATCCCCCCCCTCACCACCACCACCACCACCACCACCTCCACCACCACCTCCTCTTACTCCTCCTATTCCTCCTCCTCCTCTTACCCCTCCTCTCACGCCTCCCCTTACTCCCCCTCCTCGGCCTCCTCTCCCTTCGGCCCGGTCTTTTCCGTCGACCTCACCAACACAGGGGCTCCCGAGGTGCTCACCCTGGCCTGGAAATTAGGGCTGACGTCAGCAGCGGACGAAGGGAGGGTGCTAGAGGCGGTGGCGAGAGCAGCAGCAGCAAGGGCGGATATTAGAACGGCTAGGAAAGTCGTTCAGGAGCTAATGAGTAGGAGCTACGGAGGGATATGGGATCTCTGTGCGGCTTTGGCTAGGGGGCCAGCTAGTAAGGGGGGAAGGGGAGGGTTGGGAGGAGGAGGCAGGGGCGGGGGGATGGGAGGTTTGGGGAGGCAGGGAGGGAGATTAGGGAGTGGGATGCAGGGGAAGCTGCAAAAGGGGAAGCTGTCACGATCGGCTGTAGAGTTGGGTGTGGGTGAGGGGAGAAGGGGTGGTGTGAGTGGGAGAGGGAGAGGGAGAGGGGGAGGGGGATTTGAGAGGGTGGACGGGAGTGAGGATGGGAGGATGGGTAGTGGTGATGGTGACTGTGTGAGTGATAGCAGCAGCAGCAGCAGCACGAGCCTGAGCGCTATGATTGGTGGAACGGCAGCTTCTGCTACTGATCTTTCTGCTGATGTCAGCGTGGATGAAACCGCCAGCAGTGCAGCGAACACCGCTGCTGACGTGGAGGTTGACATGGATGCTGACATGGACGACGGATCCGATGACATCAGCATGCCGATTCGGCGGGAGTTTCTAGGGTTTGCTCTGGCTCACTGCGATGAAGCTTCCCTCCCGGACCTGCTAGCCTCGTGGCAAGGCTTGGACGCCACAGAACGGTGCGTGGCGCTAGGTGCGGCGACAGGCTTGGTGGTCCCGGGCCTGCGAGAGCAGGAGGCGCTTCTCCCGGACCTAGCTGCCGGCCGAGCCTCGGGCAAGTGGGAAGGCACGGAAGTGCTGGTGGTTCCCGAAGCTACTACAGCCGGTGCTACAGCCGGCAGCAGCAAAATCCGGGGGAAGGGAGGGAGCTCAGGCCTTACAACCACCAGCACTGGAAGAAAGCTGGCTAGTCTGGGTGGGGGACGGGGGGCGATCGGGAGGGACGTGGGGAGGAGGGCACTGGCGCTGGTATCGAGTGACGGAGAGGCGTGGGGGGATAAGCAGTGGGAGGAGGTGCCTCGGCTGCTGCTGCCGTTTGCCTGCCTTCACCTGCCGTGGATGCTCCAGGTGAAAACCCGCCGCTGCTGCTGCTGCTGCCGCTGCCGCCGCTGCTGCTGCCGCTGCGGCTGCTTCTAGAACTGGAGGGACAGCATCAGCAGCAGCTGCAGCAGCAGGCGGGGGGGGGTGGCAGAAGCAGCAGCAGCAGCGGATCCTATAGTGGAGCAAATAGTGGTGCTGATTCTCCACGTGCTCGCGTCCTGCCAGGTGTCGCCGTCTGATAAGCTCCTGACTGAAGCCGCCCGGAGTGCCCTCACTGCTGGGGACATAGTCTCTGCTGCAGCAGCTGCGGCCGGTCTGTGGGGGGCGACTGGAGGAGGAGTAAGGGGAGTGGGTGGCTTGTCAGGTGCTGTCTCAGGTGGTGGATCAGGTGCTTCCGAGTCAGGTGCCTTGTCAGGTGCTGGGCCAGGTGGAGGGGTAAGTGCTGGTGGTTCTGGGGCAGCGGAAGGGAAAGAAGTTAGCCCTACAGCTGCTGTTGCAGCTGCTGAGGTGGCAGCGTGCGATTCGCTGGCAATGGCGTTTCTGCTGCAGGCGGGGGATTCAGTGCGGGCGGCAGGGGTGATCGATGCTGAGATGGCGAAACGGGACGGGGCGGATGCTAAGCGGCGGTTCGTGCTGCTGCTGCTGCAATTCTCTTCTCTTCATGCCACGCTCTTCCTCCTAGCTGCTCAGGTAAGGCCAGGCCAGGGCATCTCAGGGTATTCTCAGAACTATCCCAGTTGAGTTGAGGGTGCGAGCTGAGTTGCACAGGTTTAGAGTTGATGAAGAAAGAAGGGGGGTGGGGGGAGGGACGGGGGGTTGATGGATGCAAAGATGGCAAATGGGGAAGGGGTGGACGCAAAGATGGCAAATGGGGAAGGGGTGGATGCAAAGATGGCAAATGGGGAAGGGGTGGATGCAAAGATGGCAAATGGGGAAGGGGTGGATGCAAAGATGGCAAATGGGGAAGGGGTGGATGCAAATATGGCAAATGGGGAAGGGGTGGACGCAAAGATGGCAAATGGGGAAGGGGTGGATGCAAAGATGGCAAATGGGGAAGGGGTGGATGCAAAGATGGCAAATGGGGAAGGGGTGGATGCAAAGATGGCAAATGGGGAAGGGGTGGATGCAAAGATGGCAAATGGGGAAGGGGTGGATGCAAAGATGGCAAATGGGGAAGGGGTGGATGCAAAGATGGCAAATGGGGAAGGGGTGGATGCAAAGATGGCAAATGGGGAAGGGGTGGATGCAAAGATGGCAAATGGGGAAGGGGTGGATGCAAAGTGGCGGTTTGTGCTGCTGCTGCTGCTGCTGTTGCTGCGATTCTCCTCCCTCCATGCCACACTCTAAAAGAGATGTTTTGAGACGTCTCAAAACTGCTGCTGCTGCTGCTGCTGCTGCTGCTGCGATTCTCCTCCCTCCATGCCACACTCTTTCTGCTGGCTGCTCAGGTGGGATTTCAGAATGCCAGTCAAACGCATCTGTCCTCCATCGGTCATGCTCTCTCTTGTTTCCCTCCACCCGTTCAATTCCACCTGTCAGGCCAACGAGGCAGCGTTTGTGAGATCGCTGCTGCTGCAGCCTGTTGAGGCACCTTGGCTGGTGGCCTTGTCATGCTGTTGTAAACTCCCCCTTGGCTGGTTGCTCCTCGCCCCCTACCTACCCCGCATCCCACCCGGCAGGCCAACGAGGCAGCGTTTGTGGGGTCGCTGCTGCTGCTGCCACCAGTGCTGCTCGCGCGTGTGGCAGGGGAAGCTTCCAGGAAGGAGGAGCAGCTGGGGGAGACTGGAGCCCTGGGTTCCAGACCAGCGGTCAAGAGCTCTGGTGAGCGGTGCTGCTACTTGCATCGCTGGTTGCTTCGGCTGCTGCTTTCTCGTAACAGTTAGAAGCTCAGATGAGAGCGCTGTTGCTGCTTCTGCCCTTGTTGCCCTTTTCTCTATCAAGTCACTCATCCCAGCCAGCTCCCTCCTCTCTCAAGGAACCACAGACGGGAGTTTTGAGTCGAATCAAAACACTTTCGCCCTTGTTCCCCTTGTTGCCCTTGTTCCCCTTGTTGCCCTTGTTCCCCTTGTTGCCCTTGTTCCCCTTGTTCCCCTTGTTGCCCTTGTTCCCCTTGTTCCCCTTGTTGCCCTTGTTCCCCTTGTTGCCCTTGTTCCCCTTGTTGCCCTTGTTGCCCTTGTTGCCCTTGTTCCCCTTGTTCCCCTTGTTGCCCTTGTTCCCCTTGTTGCCCTTGTTCCCCTTGTTCCCCTTGTTCCCCTTGTTCCCCTTGTTGCCCTTGTTCCCCTTGTTGCCCTTGTTGCCCTTGTTCCCCTTGTTGCCCTTGTTCCCCTTGTTGCCCTTGTTCCCCTTGTTCCCCTTGTTCCCCTTGTTCCCCTTGTTGCCCTTGTTGCCCTTGTTCCCCTTGTTGCCCTTGTTCCCCTTGTTCCCCTTGTTGCCCTTGTTGCCCTTGTTCCCCTTGTTGCCCTTGTTCCCCTTGTTCCCCTTGTTCCCCTTGTTGCCCTTGTTCCCCTTGTTGCCCTTGTTGCCCTTGTTCCCCTTGTTCCCCTTGTTCCCCTTGTTCCCCTTGTTGCCCTTGTTGCCTTTTTCTCTTCCAACTCACTCATCCCTCCTCCCTCCTCTCTCCTCTCTCTCTCAGCCCTTGCTGTCCTTCAGCCCGTGCGCGCCAGCTGTGCAAGCGGTGGTGCGAGGTGGTGTGAGGTGGCGTGAGGTGGTGTGAGGTGGTGTAGCCAGGCTCACTCTCTCCTCACTCTCTCTATCACTCTCAACCAACCCACTCCCTCCCACAGCCCGTGCGCGCCAGCTGTGCAAGCGGTGGTGCGAGGTGGCGCTGACTGACCACTCAGCCCTTCTTATCCTTCCTCTCTCAAACTCCCCTCCCTCTCTCCTCCCGCTCTCCCACAGCCCGTGCGCGCCAGCTGTGCAAGCGGTGGTGCGAGGTGGCGCTGACGATGCAGGGGCGGCTGCGAGTGGTGGAGGACACGCGGGCGCTGAGAGCGCTGCTGCCGCGCGCTGACGTGGCGCGCTTCGTGGCGCGTGACGTGGCGTACATGGAAGCCGCTATCGCCTCATTGGTCGATGAGACCGATGCTACTGCTGCTGCTACTGCTGCTGGGGGAGGAGTCATGGCAGAGGCAGTGGGGGGGCCGATGCCCCACACTCTGGCCTCGGCCCTCTCGCTTGCGCAGCTCTACCACGTGGACGCCTGGCAGGTGAGGATTGTTGGTGAGGGTGAGGGCTGGATATAGGTGGTGTGTTGCTGACAGACTGCGAGAGGGAATTGGGAGCAGATGGGCCGATGCCCCACGCCCTGGCCTCGGCCCTCTCCCTCGCCCAACTCTACCACGTGGACGCCTGGCAGGTGAGGGTTGGCTGTTGTTGTTACGCGTGCTGCAGGTAGTGCAGTCAGCACAAGTGACACTGCTGCTGCTGCTACTGCTGCTGCTGCTGCTGCTGCTGCTGCTGCTGCTGCTGCTGGGGGGAGGAGTCATGGCTGAGGCAACAGGCCCGATGCCTTACGCCCTCGCCTCTGCCCTCTCACTCGCCCAGCTCTACCACGTCGACACCTGGCAGGTGAGTGTTTGGGTGTGGATGGTGTGCTGTTGACAGCTGGCAGGTAGGGATTGGCTGCTGGGATGTTGACAGCTGCCGAGTGGGAATCGGTGGCGATACTGGAAGCAGCCGGTGCTGCTCACTTGCGATTCGTCCCTGTTATGTAAAGACGTTCTGCTAGAAGGTTCGCATGTACTGATGAAGGTTCGCAAGAACCGAAACTAGTTTACGCAAGTTCTGGATTAAGTTGACGATTTGTTTAAACTGGCTCTCTAAGACAACGCTCTAAGCTCACCTGGAAATCCATCCTCCCATGGGGTTTGTCTCGTCGTTTTAATAACCATACAAGTTGATGGAAGTAAGACCTCCGCAGCCCACCTGTCTGCGTTCAACAACACGTTCTGCTAGAACATGGTTCTGCTAGAACATGGTTCTGCTAGAACATGGTTCTGCTAGAACATGGTTCTGCTAGAACATGGTTCTGCTAGAACATTGTTCTGCTAGAACATGGGTCTGCTAGAACCTGGTTCTGCTAGAACATGGTTCTGCTAGAACATGGTTCTGCTAAAACATGGTTCTGCTAGAACATGGTTCTGAATTATCGGCTGTTTTTTGTCTGATGTGATGCAGGTTCATCTGACGTACATCCGTTCAGTGCTGCTCTCTGATTGGCCGATGCAAGATATCATTGCTGAGGTGGAGGCACACAAAGCCGCCATCTGTACTCGTCCAGCGTCAGCCTTCTCCTTCCTCTGGACCTCTGTGCTCCCTCGCCTTCTCACTCAAATACAGACAAAACCGCACACTCACGCACCGTCACACGCTCAGAAACATCCCTCCACGCTCCCCACCCTCGCTCCCTACCTCCTCCGCCTCCTCTCCTACTGCCTCCTCTCCTCCCTCTCCCCTCCCCCTCCTCCCTCCTCCCCTCTCACCCCCTCTTCTCCTCTCTCCCGCCTGCTCTCATTCCCGCTCCCGCCAACCCCTCTCACCGCACTCAACTCCTTCGTATCGTCAGCGCAGAGCACAGCATCCCTCGCTCCCAGGCTCTCTCTTTTAGCAGACCAGCTTGAGAAGGCAGGAGGGCTTGAACCGCCGTTGAATGGGTGGGTTCTTCTGGGGGCGGCTGTTGCTGGTGAAGCAGAAGAGGAGAGCAATGTGGGTATAAACGGGGTGGAGAGAGCGGTTGAGAGGGAGATAGAGCGGTGCTTCGATGGGTCCTCTGTGCTGGCTGCTGCTGAGATCATTTCGTCTTTGACTGCCGCTGTGCCTGCAGCTGCTGCTTCTGCAGCACCTGCTACAGCAGGAACAGCAGCAGCAGCAGCAGCAGCAGCAGCAGCAGCAGCAAAGGCAGTTACAGCAGGAGGTTCAAGCGACCTAGCCGTACAGCCCCGCTTTGACCAGAGCCACCTGCTCTGGCTCTTTGCTAAGTGCCAGTTGAGACAAGCTGGTGTGCTTGCTGATCAAATGTCCCCAAGTGTTTCACTAGAAGGGAGGAATGGTGATGGGATGGTGGCAATAGGTGGGAAGCAAGACAGCAAGACGGGCAGGGAAGAAAGTGCACAGGCAGGCGCGAAAGAAGGCGAGAAGGCTAGGAGATTCAGTTTGGAGGGGCTCCAGTCTGCGCGTGTGGCCATGGCTGGGTCCCTCTCCTTGCTCTCAGAGGTTAAGCGGCGGGAATTCACGCTCCTGCTGCTGCAGGGATGCGAGCGGTGGGTTCTAGAGGCGTGTGTTGCAGGGGAAGGCAGTGGTGGGAGGAGAAGCGGGGTGAGAGGAGGTGGTAGTGGGAAGAATGGGAGGGAAGGGAGGGGTGGGAGAGGGAGGGATGGAGGAGAGGTGAAGAGGGGTGTGGAGCTTTGGTTAGATGTTGTGGGAGATTGGATAGGGTGTGATGGTGGGACGGTAGCGGAGGGAGAATGGAAGGAGGAGAGGGAGGAGAGGGAGGAGTGTGTGGTGGAGTGTGGGAGATGCATTCAGAAGCTGCTGACCAATGGGGTCGTGACACGTCAGCAAGGTGTGCTGCTCCTTCGGTTCCTCTCCGACTCGTTGCTGAACACCCAAGGGTCCTCGGATGAGAACAAGTCAGCTGCCACGTCAGCTGCCACGTCAGCTGCCAGGTCAGCAGTCCAGTCAGCACAAGGTCAGGGTAATTCACCCCTGAATAAAGATAAAATATCTCCTGCAGGCGCTTTAACTCGGGCTTTTATGCGTCAGATGGTGCTGCTGGGATGCCCCCTGCTCGCTCTAGTCGCCCTAGCCCAGGCCACACACGGCCGTGACAGCTGGCGGCTGCCTATTGGTGCTAAACCACGGTGGCGTGTGCTGACATCAGCGAGATCAGCAGGAGCCAATCAGGGAGCGGGAAGAGCAGGCGGGAAGATTGGGAGAGGAAGGGGTGTAGGAGTAACGGCAGGTGCTGCTTCCAGGAAGCTTCCTGGTGATGCGGGCAGCGAGACGGGGAGCACGGGCGGTGAACAGGAGGATTTTGTCGTGGGTGACGTCAGCAGAGTGGTTGGTGACGCCAGCAGGGGAGGCAGGAAGGCGGGGAGAGGAGTGGGCGGGCGGGGAGGGAGGGCTGGTAGGACTAGTAGGGGAGGAGGGGGAAGAAGGGGAGGAGGAGGAGGAGGAGGAGGAGGAGGGAGAAGGAAAGAGTGAGAAAGAGAAAGAGGAAGATCCGATGGACCTATTTGCTTCTATGGGTTTGGTTTCCTCTGCTCCTCGTGCTGCTGCTGCTGCTGGTGCTGCTGGTGGTGGTGCTGCTGGTGCTGCTGCTGTTGGTAGCATTGGCAAGCCTGAGACTTCCAAGAAGAAGCCTCTGGTAGTCTCCAAGGCTGGTGGTAGGCTCGGGGCGGTGAGAAAGGGAGGCTCGGCAGCTTCGGCACCAGCTTCGGTAGAACCAGAAGGTTTGGCCCCAGGCTCGATGCTTGGTTCGGTGGAATCGCTCCCGGATCTGGCTGCAACCGCTGCCTCAGGTGCTGCCTCAGGTGATTCTTCAGGTGTCCTGTCTGTTGCGGTTTCACCTGGGGAGGGCGGGCAGATGACAATGGACTGGGCTGCTGGGGAGGAAAAATCCGTTTCCTCCCCTCAGCCCAAACCCCTAACACCAATCGTTTCTCCTGCTGCTACTGCTACTGCTGTAACTGCTGGTGATTATAATAAGGCCGAAGGTGGTGCTGAAGCTGCTGCAGCTGTTGCCTGTCGCCCTGAGATGAGTATTGTGGGTCTGTACGTGTCAGTCTTGCGAGAGCTTATGGGAGGAGAAGGAGCCGAGCTTCATATGCGCGCTCGTCCTGACATGTTAGCTCAGGCGATTATGAGGGTGATTCTTTCACTGGTGGAAGCAAGGGAGGGGGAGGTACAGCAGTTGCTGAGGGAAAGAGAGGGAGGGAGTGAGAGAGAGGGTGAGGATGAGGAGGAGAGTGGGTGGGGGCTTGATTTATCAGGGGATGAGGAGGAAGAGGATGGGGAGGCGGATGAGGAGAGTGGGTGGGGGCATTTTGAGGTTCTTGTTTCAGCTGTGCGCTCTGCTGTATGGAGGCTGCTGGTGTGTGTGGGAACACAGGAGGGGGAATCTGGGCTGACGCAAAGTGCCACACTTAGCAGCGGCACTGCTGCACACTCCCCCATGGCGCAAAGTGCCACACTTAGAGCGGCTGTTCTGGATGCAGTGAAGGCTGTAGCTCCAGTATCGTCTGACCTATCAGCACCTGCCACGTGGCTCTCTGGGAGAGGGTTCTTTGTGGATGCTGTAGGGCTCGGGGTGATGAGGGGTGTAGAGGGGTGCTGGGGAGTGTGGGATCTAGAAGTGGGGGGAGAGGAGGAGGAGGAAAGATGGGTGGGAGGGGATAAGAAGGATGACGTGGCACTGGACAGGTGGCGCTGGGCGGCGCTGCGATCACGAGCAATCGTGCAGTCTGATTGGCCGGGAGAGCTCGCTGATGTGGCGCCGCTGCTGGATGACGTGGCAGCAGACGGCAGCTTCGGAAGCATAGGCTCGGCAGTGGAGTCCTTCAAACGAGCCTTCTTCATTCTGGATAGCGGCGCAAGGAGGAGGCAAACGAATGCAGTGGATACTCAAACTCAGCAGCAGCAGCAGCGTGAGCTATCGCTTCTGGCTCTTCTGGCCTTATGGGACACTCTCCTCGCACCCAAATGGTGCCATGCCTCTGCCACCACAGCTGCTGCCAATGCTGCTGGCACTGCTGGCACAACTGCTTCTGCTGCTGCTGTTTCTGCTAACGCTGCTGCTGGGCTGCATCCCCTGCACGAGTGCTGGTTCTTACCTGTTCGCCGCTGCGCTCTCTCCCTCCCTGCTGCCACAACAGCAACAGCAACAGGAGCAGCCGCAGCATCAGCAGCGCCGTCGCTGCTGCTCTCTGCTCTTGACGCTGCTGCCTTCCTGCCATCAGGGAAGAGGGCAGCAGGGAGAATGCTGCTCTCTCGAGACGAGGCAGAGCAACTTTTGGCTGACACTGCTGCTGCTGGGAACAGTAACAGCAGTAGCAACAGCAGCAGCACCAGTGGCAACAATGTTGCACGTGATAACAATTCCAATAGCGGTAACAGTGGTAACAGCAGTAACATTGGTCCAACTGCTGCTACTCGAGCAGCGCTGTTCATGCTGAAAGTGGCTCTGTTGCTGCCGTACCCCCAGGTATGGCTTCAATCCATGCAGCTGGTGAAAGTGGCTGCTGCTGCTGCCGCTGATGCTGCTACGGAGGCTGGTGGTGGCGGTAAGGGGAGGGGCAGAGGCGGGTGGGGTGATGGGTGGGGGGGAGGAAGAGGAGGAGGAAGAAGAGGAGGAAGAGGATGAGGAGGAGGAGGATGAGGATTCGTTTTATGATGAGGAGTATAGTGATGATGATGGTGGGAGGGTGGGAGGAGGGAGGAGGGGCGGATGGAGAGGGAGAAAGAGAGGAGGGAGAGGAGGAGGAGTGAGAGGAGGAAAGGATCGAGGACCGTCATTGGATAATGAGGCTCTGACGCTGCTGCTAGCAGCTGATATCGTGCGACAGATGGCGGACGCTCATTCGGCGGTGGTTCGGCCGCTGCTGGGAGCGATGGCTAGGGTTATCCCCCCTCTTGCTGTTCAGTTGCAGGAGGAGCGGAGGAGGGAGAGAGAGGGGACAGAGAGAGGGGAGGCGGGGCGGGGGGGGCTGGAGAGAGAGGAAGGGAAGGGAGGAGAGGCGGCGAGGAGGAATGGAGGTGAAGGGAGTGAGGAGGTGGAGAGGGGGGTGGGGTTGGGAGGAGGGAGGAGGGAGAGGAGAGAGACTGAAGGGGTGAGGAGGGGTGGTGGAGGGTGGAGTGGGGATGAGGAGAGAGAGGAGGATGAGGAGGGAGAGGACAGTTATGGATTACAGCAGAGGAGTGAGCAGCAGCAGGGACAGAGGAGTGAGCAGCAGCAGGGACAAAGGAGTGAGCAGCAGCAGGGGCAGAGGAGAGGCATGCTGGGCTCACTTCTCTCTCATATCAGCGCCCTCGCACCGTTGCCAACCGGGGATGATGGTGATGATGGTGGTAAAAGTGATGATGACGGTGATGGGATTGGTACTAATGGCAGGGGAGTGCATGGTAGAGAATATGGCAACAGCACCAGGAGTGATACCAGTAGGGGCGACAGCAGCAGCAGGGGAGGTGGCAACAGCAGGAGGTGTGGTAGCAGTGTAGTGGGACCTCCTCCTCTCTATCAAACGGCCTTCCCCCATTTCGTCGCCTCCCTCACTGCCGCCCGGCAATACGAGCTTGCCGCCCCTCTTGCCCTGCAGTTTCTGGGCAGGCCGACGTTTTCGCGCAACTGGGCAGCTTCTCGGGCAGCTCTGAAGGAATTTCTCGTGAGCGAATTGAGGGCTGCGGAGGCAGCAGCATTTGGGAAGATGGGGAAAGGCGATTCCGGCTTAGCTAAATGGAGACGTTGGGAAGCTGAGGTTTCAAGGGATGATAGTAAAGAGAGCGGCGGTGGTGGTGGTTGTGATAATGGTGCAGGGGAGTTGGTGTATCTGTCGGGGGCATTGTGTCACATCGGCATGAATCTTCCAGACGTCTTGCTACTCGCTCTGCAAATGCTACAGATTGATGCCTAAGTTGAATTTCTCTTTAAGAGGTAGTACGTATACCGTAGTTGCTAAGCCAATGCAACGAAACATATTTCTGTCAAAGCATATTTTGTATACCTAAACCTATCCTGACACCCTACATGTACCTACTATGCTCAGTATGCTGGAAACAAAGACTCCTGAATTTGATATTGCAGAAAACTACAGATTGGTAGGGTAGGTTCCCCTCCCCGCTCTTTTGCATGCTTAATTGTAATAGATGAATGCAATGCTCTCGCAAATAGGTATATCCGCACTCTTTCCATGCATTGTATACCTTCTGACATTCGTACAACAGCATCCTCACTGAGCCTCTTTTCGAGCACCAAAAACTACAAAGTGAGGGTTCAGGATGTTCTCCTTTCGGTACACTACAGGCTCCTTTGAAGGCCATTGCAATACCTTCCCTCCAGCCTCTTCCACTATGATCTGAGATGGCAAAAGGCAAAAACAAGAAAAAAAACAAAAAAGATAAGGTGAAGGATGAACGGGAGGAATTAGGGGACATCACTGAACCCAGGGAGACTAATAGCGAAGGAGAGCTCCAAACCCCATTAACTGTAAAGAACTCACTAGAAGAATTCAATTAAGAAGATGTAGAAACTGGTTTTAAGGATTAACGTGAGAAGAAGTGGGGAGAAAGCAGGGAGCAGGGAAGAGGGTGAGAGGAGGAGAAGGAAATGGGTGTATTGGTACCTGAGAAGCACATGTATCCCATTCTGATGTAAGATCCAGCCGTGTTTACACATTATTAGACGCGGAGATGAGTGGAATTAGGTGGGGGAAGGAAGTGAGAGCGGGAAGGGAGAAAAGAGGAGTGTATTGGAAATACCTGAGAAGCACAGGTGTCCCACTCTGATGTCGGAGCCAGTCTTGGGTACAAATGTGCAGACCCCTCTGCAACCCGCATGAATTTCAGCGAGCTGCCCATTGCCTCCACTTTCGGATCCTTAAACTGCCCGATAAATTTCTCTGTCTCGGGCGTGCTGTGAGACAGCGACCCCATGATCACCAGTCCCGGGTCGGCGTCCGTATATTCAGCTGCCCGGATCGGCTTATCCTCGGGCAGGGATGATGAATCTGATTGGCTGGAATGGTCCCGCAGGAAAGCTCCTTTCCCAGCAACGGCCCAGTGAGTCTTTTTGAGGCAGGGCGTGTGAACCACCCCTAGAATGGGTCGATCGCCTTTCACCAGGGCAATGTTTACTGTGAACTGCGTTTGGCGTTGGGGAAAAGGGAGGGAACTGGAGGGGAAGGTGTTAAAACGGGGATGGAAAATCAAAATGTGACGAACGGTCTGAAATGAACGCTTTGGAGCAGCAATCAGCGTACAACAGAATGACGTCATGTGATTATTGCATCGATCACTGGTTGAGCACTCTCTAGAGGAGGCTTATTGGTGTGTCGCAGTGTACATGCAGGAGGTGCGATAGGGACGATATCAATTTTCAGTGATAAGGTTCTGGGTTCCACAAATTTTCATTTATCAAACAATCACCACTCAATCAGTTCTAGGTGAGCCTGCGAGGCGTATCTGTCTCCATCCCCTTTACAAGCTCACCTGTCCATTCCGCTCAATAAACTCTTTCGTGTCGTCTAACAAATCCACTCCACCATAGCCGGTACTCCTTCCTCACGAAATACGGAGCCAGAGTTATTAGCTCACCTGTCCATTTCGCTTGATGAATTCCTTCGTGCCGTCTACCGGATCCACGCACCACCACAGCTGGTACTCCTTCCTAACGGAATACGGCACCAGCTTCGTATCCATCCGCGTTACAAGCTCACCTGCCCGTTCCGCTTGATGAATTCCTTCGTGCCGTCTAACGGATCCACGCACCACCACAGCTGGTACTCCTTCCTCACGGAGTACGGCACCAGCTTCGTCTCCTCGCTGACGATCGGAACGTGCGGCGTGATGCGCGCAAGCTCGCTGCAGATTAACGCGTTGGCCTTCGAGTCAGCGTCGGTCAGCGGAGAGTGGTCCGATTTCACGCTCACTCCCCAGTCGCTGGTATCACAGGAGAAGAGGATAACATCGGATCAGGGGAAGCACGAAGAGGGAGGAGATGGAAGAGAGAAACATGGAAAGGGTCGCAAGTTGGTGTGCTGATAGAGGGGGAAAGGCGAGAATAAAAGGATGCAGGGACGCTACATCTCCTCCTACTTGTCGACTTCTGCTCCCCGCCAACAACCCACTTTACTGGTTTCAATAGCTCGCTTCTCACGGCCTTGTCACCTGTCCTTTCCGCGCTGCTTCGCACCTCAGCTGTTTCTCGCTCGTTTACATTCAGTGGTTCCGCAAATCCGGCAAACCAGCAACTATTGCTACCCCACTCACTCTTGGTGGCTGTTGTAAACTTCCAGGATAGCGCGTCCCGCCGCTTCTGCGATCTCAATGACGTCAGCAGGACGGAAATCGACATCGAGTTGCATACGTACGGGATCCTGACACGCCGCCATACTAAACCGTACGGACTGTAAGGGCTTGAAACTGGTTAATAGGATCCGTACAGCAGACGAACTTCTTGCGCAGAACCTTCTTCCCCCCAATGCGGGGATGTTTAATCGATGAGGCTGACTGAGTCTCCTTGAAAAGTAACAGGTGAATCCAGAGTTAACTAGAGCAAGACCTGGATTAATGCACCTGCTACCCGAGAGAACGGAAGCACAATGGAAAGCTCGCACGCACACAGGCATGAACCACTTAGTACGTTATCTTTCGTAATGGAACAAGATCTGGATCCTGAACTGAACATGAATGCAAAACTGAGTGATAGGAATCACAACAAATCCGGGCTGACAACGGAATTACTGAGCCAAGGCTTTTTAAGGTTCATCTGACTGCCAGCGCAGCTGGTTGACGAATCTCATTCCTGAAGTCCCATTGAAGGATGATGAGAGAGAAATGTTGCCCTCGCTGGCAGATGTTTCCTTGGATATGCCGAGGGATGGGATGTACTTTTCTGATGTTCCCTGGAGTTGAGAACGTTTCTTCGCGGTTACACTCCCTTCCCAGCCAGTCAGCACAGCATCAGTCCAACGTTGCTGAAGAAACGGAGCATCTGGACTGTCGGTTGTTGATTGGTTCAATGTGCAGCTCTGCTCCAAGTACGTGGCCCATGTGGATTGGCGAATATTCAAAATGCCCTCACCACGCGCCAAATCAGGAGTTCAGGTACTGTAATTACGAGGGAGCTTTTCCGCTTTTGATTTCCCAGCTGAGGGATCCCAGCTTTGTGCTTCAGGTTCGGTACAATACCAGTGCACACAAGTTATAAAATAGTCAAGCAAATAAGGTAAACAAATGTTTTAGTACATGACAGTATGCAACACAGCCTATGCAAGCTGAAGAGCTTGCGGAACCATACCACCTTTCTTAGCTGCAAAATCAACCCAAGCACCAGCCTCACTCACAAACTCCGCCTTTCCCTTCCCAACCACACCACTCATTCCTATCTCAGCAAACTCGAAGGCAGACTCTGCCAGCGCTTCCACAGAAATCTTCCTGACAACTTCAAATCCCTCTTCAGTGAGGGACGTTGCTTCCAGAAGCTTCCAGGTCCATTCCTCGGAAGCATTATCGTAATCCTCCCGGCGCTTGCACACGATATGACCGGAAATTTCAAACACTGCAGGGTTCACCTGCGTGTCAAGAAGCTCTTGGCTGATCTCGCCCCTTGCCTGCCTCTCTGCATACCTCTGCAAGCAGAAAGGGAGAGGGGAGGATCAGGTCAGGTTAAAAAACCAGTGACAGAGCAGAAAACACTAGAAAGCCCCAAAAACTTGAAAGTTGACACGGTGACACCATCAGGTTGGAGTCAGACACAGGAAGGAAGGCCAGGAGGAGGCAATGATTGAGAACACCACGATGATTAAGGAGGAGAAATAGAGGACCGTACCTGTGGAATCAGGAACAACCGGGTGCCCCTGTCCACGATAAACATGTTGAAGGGAATGTTCCCTTCCTGGAGCTTGCAACATGCCGCCGCAGCAGCCGATGCCATCTGCTCAATGCATGCACCCGCTTGGAACACCAACGTTTTCACTGGATAATCCACAAGCTCCCCAATCTTGACCTCATTCGTTGAAACAGCGATCTCCTTCGAAGATGCACGCTCAATCGCAAAGGGCAGGTCGAGAAAGTAGGCCTGGAAGTGCAGGTGGTTGATGGTGGCGAAGGCGCCGAGGCTGTTGTACCCGATCCTGAAGGCAGGGTCGTTGACTTCCGAGGCTAGGCGGAGAGCCATGAGGAGACTGGATTCGTGCATGCACTGGGGGATCTTGTCGAGCACACGGGGAACCAGCAGCACGTGGCCGTAGTCAATGGGAGACACCTGAGGATGACAAGTAGGGGCATGAGGGGGTGTGAAATGGTTAAAAAAAAAAAACAAAACAAAACAAAAGAAAAAAAAATGTTTTTTGCTTGTGCAATGGACAGAAAAACTCAATCAATGCCACGAACTGAAACATGTATCTCAACTCACATTGATGACCATGAGGCTGAAGCTCTCCCCCACAAGGAGCCAAAAACTAAACATTAGGCTGGCTTTAAGAGCAGGCAAACACTCACATTGATGACCATGAGGCAAGGGCTCTCCTCCACAAGGAGCCAAAAACTAAACAATAGGCTGGCTGGGGCTCTCCTCCAACACTCAACACTCACGTTAATGACCATGAGGCTGGGGCTCTCCTCCACGAGGGCGGCTTCATAGAAGCGGCTCTCCTCGTCCTTGCCTTCCTCAAAGCGGAAGAGCATCTCGTTCTGCCCAACCTTGGTGAAATTGAACTTGGCGGGATCAAACGCCTGCAGCACCTTGTCCACGCGGAATTCGGTGGGACGCTTCTTGGAGTGCCTCCCCTCGTTCAGCTGCGCAATGAAGCCCAGGCGACCTTCGATAACCTACACAATGTACGAGAAATAACCGCATTTTTATTTCCGTGCTGCGAGTGATTAATAGCCCTGGCTAAATCGACAAACGGCCCTTGCACTTTCAGATCATGTTCCCCATCACACCACAGTGCGGATATTTAGATAAACCGCTCTGATCTGCTTATTTTATAAGACGTACCTTTGACTCGCATGCTGTCACGTCATAGCGGAATAGCCCCTCCTGAAACTTCTTCTCCCACTGAAAACGGCAGAATATAGAGGAAGGGGAAATAACGGAGGAAAAGGTGGAAAACAGAAGAATAGGGACGGGGATAGAGGGGAAGGGGGGGGGGAGGGGGGCGCGGAAAAACAAAAATAGGTCAGAACATAACACTCGCACAGTGCGCAAAGTACCCATCCAGCAATCAGCTAACTAAAGATAAACAGAGAGATTGAACTTCGCACCAGTGCCAACCACGTAAGATAAACGCCGTACCTCGGAGGTGATGTGCTTGCGCAGCGAGAAGGCGTCGTCGTCGTGGATGTCGCTCGCGCCGCCGGACGACAGCGAGTCCTCGTCGGACGACGACAGCGACTCGCGGATCGACAGCAGGTCGTCGTACGACGCGAAGCTCGTGGTGTTGCCGAGAAACCCGGGCTGGAAACCAGGAACCCCGTCCAGCTCCGTGAACGATTGGATGCGCTCCGGCTTGGTGCACGGACGCTTCGCGTACGCGTACAGCGGCATGCGAGCACCTGGGGTGACATGGAAGCAAGGGCATGGAAGGTGTAGACATTGAAGCAGTGCGAATTGAATTCATGCAAGTTCAAACGTTGCGATACAGTCCGTCAAATAAGAATTGTTTTGGGTGTAGAGTTCACACTGCGACCGACGACGTAGTGCGGAAACCGAGTGCATGAATAAGGCAGCGAACTGTTGATCTGAACGTGAGTCTGACGGAGATCGGGAGGTGAAACGTACCAATGGTGCAGCAGGAATTCAGACAGCGGCGACCGCAGCCCGCGGGCTGATCCTCCTCCTGGTTCAGGGAGACCACTGTCGGAACCTTCTTAATCGTCAGCATCGTGTCGAAGAAAGAGCCTCGGAGAATATCCAAGGAAATTAAGCTGCTTCAGAAAGCGTATGACCTTCTATCCCGGCAGAAAATCCGGGGTCTTAACAGGTTCCCTCTCTATACTGTACCTCAGGGAACCCTAAGCAGGCTAAACAGCGACTCGAGCAGAAAAAAAGAATAACTACAGCCGCGGTTCAGTCTGCGACGAACACGGGAGTGACGCTTCCACCTCCTGCCAGGAAAAGGAGGTCCGAGGGACTTCCCCCCTCAGACGGAAGAGCTCCCCTACCACCGTGCGCGGAAACGGCACCCAGGCACAGCTTTCCCGCAGCCTCCAGCTGGAACGTGTGTGCGTAACGGTTTCCCGCGTTACCCGCCGTAAACGCCGTGGTGGCCAATGTGTTTGCACGGACCAGACCCCGAGGGACTGGCCAGTGCGATTAAGTGGGGGCTACCAAGAAGCGCGAATCACGGCGACGGAATAGCAGCCACGCGGGCGATGGCTGTGAGCTACTCGGGAGGCAAAGACGCCGAATGAAGCCCCTGAGCCAGCCACGGAATCAGAATGTGACTGGCGGCGTGATCACTGGAATTAGCACGGGCACTTCACGGTGGTTGGCCGTAGGACCTTCGCTGAAGCGTCCGCAGGAACAGAATCAGGGAAGAAAACTAGATCGCTATTCGCGAAAGCTTGAAGGTAACGGTTTGAGCAGCCAAAGATGCTGGAAGCGGGAGAGCAAGCAGGCTAGCAAACGCTCGTCAACAAATTAAAAATAATGATTCTGAGTCAGGGTTGGTTATTAGTAGACAGCGCAGGTTAGTGAAGATTAGGGATTGGAACAGAGGCGCGGGGAAATCGACATTTGTGGCTGGTGACTGCGGGATGGCGCATGGCGGGTGGGGAGCGCGGATGGTGAAGAGAGGCGCAGGAAGGAAGGGGGGAAAAGGGTGAATCGAGGGCGCGGAAGGTACTCCCAGCGGAGAGGAAAAGGTCGGTGAGCGGAAGTGGCGCGGGGAATTCGCTGGTTCCCTGGGGGAATCGGAGGGAAAGCGAAAAAAAGATGCGGGTGCTAGTGCTTGTGCGGCTGGGGTGAGGAAGGTGGCATGAAATGGATGACGGGACGATGGAACCTGGGGTGAGCGCCTGGAGGGGTAGGTTGAGGTGGCAAACGGCGATTCGTTCAAAATCCGTGATCAAAACAAGTGACAGAGATCGAGGGTGGGGTTCCGTCAAAACAGGGGCTAGCTGGTTCGGATGCATACAAACCACGCGGTAAGAGTATGGTTAGCGACGTCGCCAAAATAGCGTGGCTTTTTTGTAACCCTTGGATCAAGCCCCGAGTTTCGCAGGTCAAATCTCGACCAATACATCTCTTGTGCATGCTCTTGCCTGCTGTGGCGTTGTGCCTTCGGTAAGCATGTGCACTTCCGCGAAAGTATGTGGAGAATATGCGATTCGCATCACACACATCTCGCAGCTTCCAAACCAGCCAGGGGCATTGGTTGGCAAACGAAGAGCGAATTTCTCAATACGGTTGTTCCGCCTCCGCCATGACCCATGAGTCCTGGGGCGCTGCGTCCGATACGCCTTGCAGACAGTGCCACGTAGACAGCTGTCTCAGGTAGTCTGGGTGGGGCAGGTCAGACCTGAGAATCTACACCGCCCATCGACCACCTTGTTGTCATCGGCACCGTTTCTTTGAACGTCGTCGTGGCGACCACACCAACCATTTTCATGCCATTCCCGCGTTGTGATTGCAGTTCGTTGCTGTTCCCTCAAGTGGCGTTGCGGCACCATCCGATTGTCGTGTCACCTGTTCATGAACGAACAGAATATCGCTTTTGCTGAGTCCGCGTAACGTACTAGCCCACGAACAGAGGAACACAAATCCGTATAAGTGCATATGTATTATCGCAAGATTCAGTGTAAATTTGTTCAGCAATTAGTACACGTTGTTAGTGATATTCAAAACTTATTAAGGACATCAAGGATTTTCACATGTGATCAAGGTTCGTCCAAAAACTGGAGTGTCAAAGAGCTGATGTTATGCATATGCCATTTTCTCAAAAACGTGACATGCCTAACTTTCAGACGTGTTTGGAAAAAGACTGCCTAATACCGTCACCAATTATCGTCGTCAGGCCCAACCATACTCGCTGTAAGCTCTGAGCATGACCTCGAAGACTCCAGACGACCCCTGCCTACTAATCCGCGACATCAAAAGCCTCGGGATTGTCACTGGCTCTCCTATCCCACTCACCTCCACCTCGCGTCCACCTCGTCTCCAGCTCACCTTCAGGGAAGTCTTTAGATCTCTTGCCTCTCTACCTTCATAAAGCTTCATCTGTAGAACTGTGTCCCTTTCGTTGGAGTCACACCATCTCTCCTTTGCCAGCACTGCGAAGGCTGATTCCAGCAATGGCGACGCAATGCATTGGTTGGCTCAAGATAGGTCTACGCAGACACATGCCTTCCAGAGAAATACCTGCTCTGTCGCTCGACATTGTCTGCATTTGCGGTGCATATTTAGTTTCCAGGCCACCCCTACTAACAGCGTTATTGTTTTTGATACCCCTCCTGGCAACCATGTCATGTTCAGACGCGTCGCGCTCATATCTCTGAGCGAGACCCCAAACATTCGCAACCACGATCTCCGAGGCTTTATTTCAATGACGCAATAGTTCTCTATTTGTGAAACGGAAAGGGATTAGTCTCTTTCACGACGAATCAATAACTTGTGTACAGTTTTATTTCCGTCGAATATCCGCGTTGACCTTCTCGTTGACCGTCTACCGAGCGCGGTCCGACGTGGAATCGCAATATCCTCTTCAAATATCATGGAGAGCTCGACGAGCATCACTAAGAATCGCGTAATTTCCAGCGGCAATCTCGAGAAGCGGCTGGCTCCGGCGGCGATTCTGCTTTTCGCGCTGTTTCTCCAAATGGCGGGCTGGTTCGGCCCGCCGCACTTCACGGCGGCCAACGCGCAACCGTTGGATAGCTCACAGGGTACGAGCGCAAAACGTTGTAATAACGAGCGGAACGATTCTTTAGGATGGCAAAACAGGAACGCTGTATTGGAACCAGGTTTGGTACCATGCACGGTAACCATACGTTGAATCCACTCCTTTCAGAAAGCAGCACCTTAAAGAGGCAGGACCACATTTGCAAGATGTACCTAAAGACTATGTTTCCTTTGCTCCCCCTTGTATGCAGCACTTGCATTGGATCAAATCTTACTGGAGTGGGGTGTTGAGTCCCCTGGGGGAGGCGCCGCTGGATGGGACTGTAGAAAAGCCACGTGGCTCTCATGCACCGCGGATGGCTTCGTAACAAGCATGTGAGGCTGATATAGACTCGTTATGAAGTTCAACCAAGTGAGCCACATGTTCGCACTGCATGACAGTATAACCCTGTGCTTAGTACATTACAGATGTGAAATCAGCAACATGCCCATCAGCAGGTCTAAAGAAGCCGACTCGGCTCAGCCCAACTTTCCTTTCCACAATATCCACTTCCCCAACCACCCCCTCCCTCCCCCCCCGTTTCCCCCTTTTCTCTCATTCCTTCCCGAGGTCCATCACTGACTGGCACACCCATCAGAGAGTCTAAACACGCTGAGTCGGCTCAACTGGGGCACTGTATGCACAACCCTGACCCACCTCCGCTCCCGCAACTCCTCCCCTCTTCTCCCTCTCCCCCCTCCTTTCCCCCAACCATTCCCCCTCTTCCCACTCCCCAGGGCCATCACTGACACGCCCATCACCGGGTCTCTTCCAGACGCCATCGGCGCGCTCTCCTCCCTCACAGCACTGACTTTTGAGTCTGACTCAAAAGTCCCCCTCCTCCCCCCAACTACTCCCCTTGCTCTTCACTCCCCAGGGCCATCACTGACACGCCCATCAGCGGGTCTCTTCCAGACGCCATCGGCGCGCTCTCCTCCCTCACAGCACTGACTTTTGAGTCTGACTCAAAAGTCCCCCTCCTCCCCCCAACTACTCCCCTTGCTCTTCGCTCTCCAGGGCCATCACTGACACGCAAATCAGCGGGTCTCTTCCAGATGCCATCAGCGCGCTCTCCTCCCTCACAGCACTGTAAGCGACTTCCCCTCCCACTCCCCTTCCTGCCATCCGCACCCCGACTCGCAACACCATGCTTTGTGGTCTTGGCTTGGCCTCCCAAAGCACCTCACTCCCCTCATGTCTCGCTCCCCTGCTGCCCCTCCCTCCCCTCCCCAGCACATCCACAACACCATGCTTTGTGGTCTTGGCTTGGCCTCCCAAAGCACCTCACTCCCCTCATGTCTCGCTCCCCTGCTACCCCTCCCTCCCCTCCCCAGCACATCCGCAACACCACTCTGGCGGGACCTCTCCCTTCTGCACTCCAGTCCCTCACATTCCCCCCTGTGACCTGGTCCCTTTGCTCCCCTCCTCCCCACTCCCCCCGCTTCCCTTTCCTCTTGCCCCTCCGCCCCCTCCCTCCCCTCCCCAGCACCATCCGCAACACCACGCTGGCGGCTCCTCCCTTCTGCACTCCAATCGCTCTCTTTTTCCCCCTGTGACCTGGTCCCTTCGCTCCCCTCCTCCCCACTCCCCTCCCTTTCCTTTCCTTTTGCCCTTCTTCCCATCCCTTCCCCCCCCTCTCTCCCCAGCACCATCCGCAACACCACTCTGGCGGGACCTCTCCCATCTGCACTCCAGTCTCTCTCATTCCCCCCTGTGGCCCGCTCCCCTCCTTTTCCCCCCGCCCTTCCCCACCCCCCACAGCACCATCCGCAACACCACTCTGGCGGGACCTCTCCCATCTGCACTGCAGTCCCTCTCTGCGCTTCAGTACCTGTCAGTCCACTTTTCTTTGTGATCTTTGGCGAGAATCAAAACTTTTGAGAATTCTCAAAAGTGATTCCCACTTTTCTTTGTGATCTTTGGCGAGAATCAAAACTCACTCCTAGGTTTGAGGCGCCTCAAAACTGATTTTGGCGAGAATCAAAACTCACGCCTAGGTTTGA